ACTTTCACATAACTTTCTAGAATCAACTTCACTCGAAGAACAGAGTATGGGAGATAGCATTTAGCAATGGGTATAAAATGAAGAAGTGGCTAACTAATTCTCAGTTTGAATTACAAGAAGAATCTTAATTCTTTTAAAAAATCTATCGAGCGGTTTAAAATTATTCGCTAATTTGTTAAAGTAGACCGAAATGTTTACAAAACCACTAACAAGAGTGTCTTGATACATACCAATCAAATTTTTCTTTCGATTCTAACAATCAAGCAGAGCTATCTCCACGATCTTTCACACATGTTTTTAAAAAGATTAAAACTTCTGTGAGGTGAGATTGCAGGTCAAAAGCACTTCGTTTTCTACAGATAACGGCCAAAAATCAAGATTTTCCTTTTCTTACCGTATTTCTAATAATAAAAACCTCATTCCAAAATATCTCGATAACGCTCTTACGGTTTTGCTTAAACTTCACGAACATCGAGGCGACCGTATTGGAGAAAAAAGCTCCTGTGAACGATTTTGTAAGGTTCCCATGCCGGGAATCACTGCTAAAGTAAAATAGGTAATGGGGGGAGTCATTTCGTTGCTATGACAACTCCGATGTCATTGCAACCCTGATGATGCCCATTTTTCATCTTAATACAACTGTGGTCGCAATTTTTCCAAATGTTTGTTTATGGCGACGTAGTTTATGCTCAGACTTGGTATTGACCCTGAAAAACCGTATCGAGCCACCTTCATATGCCAGGACGGCCTTATGTTGTTGCAATACGGCCCTCATTTCTTTTCGACTCTTTCATAAACATTTGGGCAACTTGCGAGTTTTTTTTGGGCAAATGGTTTACCGCCCCCCCTGGCCAAAAAGTTCCCATACGCCTATGATAGAAGTGGACTGAAAAAAGGCTGAGCAAAAATTATTAGAGCTATTTTTCAATTAGACCATGATCAACTAACTTCAATTTTGCTTTCACATTGGTTTTGGATATTTCAGTCTACTTTTAAATTGCAACTAATGATTCTAGCAGCAATTACCGTGCTATGAGCATTTCTAAACTGCTTTTTGCTATTTTTGGCTATTTTTTTTAATTAAGAAACTAAACACTTTCACATCTGCCTGTGGTGCATCATTTTATTTTGACGTAATAAAATGAGTGTAAAGAATGACTTTCTGAAAAGATAGCTATACAATAATGATTTTGTATAGCTTACAACATTTTAAGGCTTTGCAGCTCCATATTAGAACTATTACTGCAATGACCAGAATGTAAGTGTAAATACATTTTGTATATGTAAACACATGACCCTTTTTTGAGGAAAAAAAAATCCTGCAGAGAAATGAGGAGGGAAAAAAATATCCTGCAGAGCATTTAGAAGGGAAAAAAATATCCCCCCCACCAGATTGCTAGAAAAAAAAATTCTTGCCGACCAAAAATCCCCCCCCCCCCCCCCCCGTCAAGAGTTAAATGGTCGGCCCCTAAAGACCCACGACCCCATGTGTATCGTTGTACCACCGCAACGAAATAACAGTTAGTGATCAGAAAATAGGTTCGACTATCTTTGAAAAAAGTGTTTCGGCAAAATTCCCCAAAGCGAGTAGAAAATAGTTAAAATGCGCGCGAAAATATGAAGTAAAACATGCAGTCCAGCTTACCGGTTGCATCGGTTAAATCGACTATCTTCCTCTGTTTGTGTTCATTATGAGTCCAGACGTAAACATGCTGATTACAGTGATCACAACACCGTCGTTTTCTCTTTGGGCAATGCATCTGTCTTACAGTGTGAAGGTGACATGTTAAGACGGTTCGCTGATCTGACGCCGGCAAGGCGCGGCTGCAAAGCTTAAGTGACCGCAATGGATGAAGGATTTGGCGGGAAGGAATCAACTTCGTCCCCGGGGTCTTCTCCAGAAGACGCTGGGAGTTTGGGCAAGGTTGAGTCGACTCCCGATAACTTGAACCTTCAAGTTCGAATTATCGGGAGTTCGAGATACCAGAAGTTTGGACTTCGGAGCAAATAACCACGGAGATAAAGAAAAAAAAACGGTTTTCTAAAATTCACATTTAATTGCGGTGACTACAAAGCAGTTAACCTTGGGGGTGGGAAGCCGAGGTTTCGTTAAGAAACTCGGTTCCGGAAAGGGGTCTCCCAGTGACAGGAAGGGAACTGTCTGGGGCGTGTCGATGTATTTGTTACACCATAGAACTGCTTCTCTGTCATAAATTATGAGATATCTCATCATGCTGTGAACAACTGATCCCGGTGAGGTGTTTAGACAAACGGTTGTTAACTGCAGAATTAACTTAAACCAGGGGCCTGCTTAAACAAGTTAAGGCCTCGGGCTCAACCCCCGGTGGTTACTCCTGTGAATTCTTGTTGGGCGTGTACCGCCCGGTTCTCCAAATCCTGACCCTATTTCATACCAAAAAATGTTATTTTCCACACCAGTTTTCAGACCAGACCTCTGAAATAAATTTCCGTTTTCAGACATGGCCTTAAGGCAGAAATTATGTCATCATTACTTAGATTAGAGCGCAATCAAAAAAATTCTTCCAATGCATTTCGAATTTGCATATTTCTTTTTCTATAAATACTTTTAAACACTCTCGTAGTTCCCTCAAAATCCATACCCGATTCCAGACCGAAAAGGGCAGAGTGTATACTCGTTTTTAGACCAAAACGGTGCAAAAACACTACCCGATGGGGCGGCACATACCTATATAGCTTATATAAGGCAGTACCCCTCTGCTTTAACTGGCGTATAAACAGCAACACAGCACGGAGACGGCCTTACTTAAAGGTAAGAATGATATTTTGATGTCTATGAACAAGCAACATGTCACCTTGCTTGTATTATTGATTTAAGTGCAAGCTTTTGACACGATACATCATGATAATTCTGATTTGGAAATCACTGACAGTGCGCTTGCCTGGTTTAAATCGGATCTATCGGACCGGTTCCAGAGTGTCTCTGTAAATGGTAGTCTGTCCGATCAGTTTCCTTTAAAACAAGGTGTTCCTCAAGGTTCGTGTTTGGGCCCCTTGCTTTTCACTATCTACACGCGCAAACTGTTTCAGATCGTTGAACGCCACCTCCCTCAAGTCCACTGCTACGCGGACGATACACAGTTGTATGTATCATTCAGCCCTAATCGATCTGCGGATGCTGATTTTGTCATCAAGTCCATGACTGACTGTATCAGTGATATTAGGAGTTGGATGATTTCAGATAATCTTATGTTAAACGATGACAAAACAGAATTTTTAATTATAGGTACTAGGCAGCAGCTGGCAAAGGTTAACATCAATTGCATTAGGGTTGGGTCGACTGATGTTTGTCCTGTAACAGTAGCTAGAAACCTAAGCTTATGGTTTGATGAGCAGCTCACTATGTCAACTCATAATAGAGACCTTTAGATTCGAGGCCGATGACGACTACGAATACGAGAAAGCTTCATTTGACACTCGCAAAAACTGATATACTTATAAACGGATACTGGGATAGTATTCAATCCAACAAATTAACCTCTTATGTCCTGAAAGGTTTCAAAGTCGTGACCAGTACAAAGGTATCTAGTTAAAGAGGGGAAAAAGCAAGAGAGCTAAAATTATCTCACCCAAATCGCCTTGAATCGGGATTGACGTAAGGGCACAGATGCCCGTAGCAAGTAATACCCAATGGAAGTAAGATAAAGTGTTTTTATTTACAATTATTATATTCTGATAGGGCTGTCAAAAAGTTTTTAAGTAGCAGGCTAATAATGAATAGTAGGCGGCTTTGGAACTCGCACCAAAGGCACACGTTTTTTGAGGGCCGGGGCATCTTGGGACATTTTGAAAATTAGAGTCTCGGAAATGGCGTTTCCAGGGCTTTTCAAGAGGTATTTTCTTCCATGGACGCCATGTTGTTTCGTCCGATTACACACAAGACTCAAGACTGGGAACAATGCCGTCGAAATGTCCCAGGCGTTCCACGACATTGTACGGTTCGAACGTTTCACAGATCTAAACCTAAATATGCGTTCAAAGTCATTCAAAACTGGGAAACGGATGCTTTACCATACATTTCATTCGGTGGTGCTTATTTTCGTCGGCAGTTATGGTAGAAGAAGATGAAACTAGCCCGTGGTTTTGGCCCGCTACCGACCCTTATTGACAGCGCTGCATTTATATTTTCCAAAGCATATCGTAGACATCCCCAAAACAAACTCTTATAGAATGAACGCTATTTCGCAAAATCATCTCCAATGACTCATAGCTTGAGCTTGAGCTTGGGTCTCCTGTGACCATGTGAGTCATTGACAAACCTTAAGTGGGAAGCTCTCTTTTCATATGATAGTACTTTATAAAGGCAAAAGGATAAGACGTTTTTCCTTTTTTTTTTTTTATCGTGGACCGAATCGGACTTTCGACTGTTGCTCCATACCATAATGGTATTAACAGAAGGTTATTTGAAATCAAGCGCAGATGCTCTGCCCTGGATGTCAAGCAGTACAGACAAGGAACGGTAATGCTAGTATTCCCCCTTTGAACAAAATGTAGCTTGACTAAACACTTATTTGGTGATCACTGCAGCTGACGAATCTCAGGGAATCGCTCGACCAATCCCGAATAAAATGATAAAATGATGAATACAATCTTTTGTGCGAGTGTTTGTTTTTGTTTTCGTTCCCCGTAACATAGAAAAAGAATGTGCCGTTCCTTTCATGAGACCACTTAATATCAGGCTAAGTCAGTTGCTCATCACCAGCAGCAGATATTTCGTTTCTCAGTCTACCAAAAATCATAAGATCCCCAGTTAAAAATAAACATTGAAAAAAGAAGAACAACTATTTTCTCACCCAAAAAAGCAAACTTGACGGATGCTGCTGCTCAAATCTCATATTCTTCATAGCAGACGTACGGCGAAATTTCATTGATACAACTGTTTTAACCAGACAAGCCGTCGCTTTTTGTCGCAATTTTTAATTACAGATTAGTCAAACTGCTTTGAGATTGGTAAATAGTCATGAAAAAGTAATGCACAAAAACCCGCACACGAAACCTGAGTTTTCCATCGCAAAAAGCAGATCCTCAGCTTAAAATTAAACATGAAAAGGTATCTGATTCTCGTCATCTGTCTTAGCCTTGCATTAGGCCAAGAACCGACGCTGCCGCCAGAACCAACAAGTCCACCATCTCCATCAAAACATCCTTTTAAGGTAAACATTTTTTTTAGCTTAGAGTTCCTATAAGACCAAAGAGTGGAAAGATATAGACTAAGATAGGGTGAGTTGCAAGTATTGTGGTGGTGTACAATAATAGTATAGAAGCACCTCAAAGTAGCGAATGCCATATAGTGCTTCAAGTTTTTTGGTCGCTGAGCTGAAATAAAAACCAAGTATTATCAGTAATCTTTTTCCTACTAGGAACTCGAAAAGAAAGATTTCCGAATTTTTTCCAACTAATGGTCATTTTTGGCTTTTTAAGTAACTTAAGAATTTAACTCGAAAACTTTGGCCCACTTTTTCAAGTTACAATCTGTTTTCCATCCTCACCAGCGAATCTCAAACTCATTCACTCATAGCTGAGGTATAGTAGTAAAGAGATTTTACCCAAAGCGGAACCATTGGTTCAGGGTTTTCTTTGATTCCATTTTGTTTTTAGGGCAGTTTTTGGTATTACTTGAATATATTTATAGACATAGCCCCTGTAACTGGGCATCGTGAACCAGTCCTTATCCAAACCTTTTTGTTCTATGGTTCTCATAAGCGTGGCGCTGGACAAAAATTCCGCATTTTTTGTTTACAATAATTGTTTCTTTGCTTTTGTTATTATCTTTCTGGCCAGCACTGCCTCGAAACTTATAATCAATGCGTACAAGAAGCTGGCTCAGAATGGAAGCCTCAACAAGCCTGCTTTCTGGGATTCTATAAATGCCAGAATAAATACACGGTAAGTATTTGAGGCAAATATCGTCACTGTTGTATTCTTTGCATTTTGTTTGTTTGTTTCTCGGCTGCAGGCTTTTTTTCGTTTGTGCTCCATGCCGCAAGGAAGTAGCAAACAGCTGCAAAAGGCCGTGCCTGTAAATTTTATCTCCGTTCCAATCACCCAAGGATCTTCTTTTTTGGAAAATGATATGACAAAAGACACTACAAAGATGATCGTCTCATTTTTTATTATTTCATTTTCTTCTTTTGTTTTGTGTTCGTTGTCTGTGAAGGATGCGTGCTAATACTACAACTTTTTGCGTTTTACTATCTCCATTTAACCAACGTTTGCATAACATGTCTTTGTAGAAAGCCAATTTATTCTTGACTTCGGCAGTACAGGAATCTGAATCGGAGTTAACCTGAGATCAGGCCCAATTTTAGCAGTTCTCATACATTCTCTCTTACGTGTTCCCGCTACCCGCCGGAATGTTATTTACAAAGCAAAACGAAAATAGAGCCTGATCTCAAGTTATGGCGGAGTCAGATCCGTAGGTGAAGGGCCCGCTCATTCAGTACCTCTGATATAACGGGGGGGGTCAAGGGGGAGCAAGCCTGAAAAACAAGCCCTTAAAATAATCCACCACTGAAAATTACCACGTAATGAATAGGATAATCCTACGGCTTTTGACTGTTATTATTTTTTGGCCCGTTCGACTGACGAAGGAAAAAGATAGGAGAAAAAGCAAGAGCGAGGAGCCGAAAGGAAACGAGGAGAACAGGAAAAAACAATGGCAGCTCTCTTAGTTTTTATAATAGCTACTTAGGAGAGCTTTTGGCCGAAAAAAAACTCTTGGACGCAAAAGGTCCCTGATTTGACGATAACGTTATCAAAAATAGGGCTAAAAATACATATTCGTAAGTTCTTGAATATTTAAAATTCAGTTTAAACTTTACTTTACAGGCAGAATGCAGAAAAATTTACAAAAACAACGGATGTTACCAGGCTCTTGGAAGAGATGAATGTATGAAGAAACTACGTGCCTGTTATGGATCCAGCTGATAAATATTGTTATGCATAACGTGATAAATTTCATGTATGGTAGTGAAATAGTGAAATAAAAACTTTTGAGCATTAATTGATACTCTATTTTGGTGTAGTATTTCGTGCTTGGCAATGGACTACAATAGGCCACTTCCGAGTTCCAAAAACTCTCACTTTCAAAACGAGGCTAAGTGCAAGGCCTTTGTTGTGAAAATGGCTTCCTTCTTAGCCACGTTTTAAAGTAGAGGCTTGAGGCAACTCGGAAACGGACTTCTGAGCTGTTGAGTGTACACTGTAACGACAAATTAAAAGGATGAGACGGAATCCATCAGAAAAATTGAGTAATTTTAATATTCTGTGGACAAAAACCTTCTACTAGAATAATTTAAAGCATAGTATTGCATTCATTTTAACTTTTTTTAAAGAGCCATAGATGTATTTAGTCCTCTGTTAACACCAAAGAAAATTTCGTATGGAAGCCTGAGAAAATAAATTTCTAATTTTAGAAAGTGGACCAAAATGAAATCTTACGCATGAAATTTTACTTGCGTTATTACATTATGTCTGTGAAATTTCTCAGGCTCCTATGATAAATTTTCTTGTGTTCGGTGTTATTACAGCTAGCTAATTATTACTACAGCTCTTGGTGAATGTGAAAAAGGATGCGATGTGGTTCAGATTATTCGGGCACAAGGTTTTTGTCCACCGAAAATTTAATTTACTCAATTTCTTGATGGATTCCGTCTTTTAAAGTGCTTTGCTTTTAATACTTTTCAGCGGCTAAAAAAAAGTAATTAACAACTGACTATAGAACAGATTGATTGCCACGAAACGCAGGCCAGGCATTTTACGAATTTTCATTTATCCTGCAACTTTGCTTTTATAAACCACTAAAGCTTAGGTCCCTTTTAGGAAAGTGGCGTACTCAGTACTCGTTTACCCATTAAATCGTCTGTGAAGTACATAGGATTGGTTCTTGTTGTGGGTTTCGTTAGGAGATCGGTCTGAATTTAAAGTTAACTGATTTATGGACTTGTACGTGATCTTGGATAGGAAGAAAACTGGTGTGAAGAATTTGACTCTGAGTGGCTGCCCTAGTTTGTTGGATTTAATAAAATTTAAATGATTTCAGACTGTTTTTCAGGCATTTGTACCCCACAACAGGAACAAAATGGCATCAGTAAGTCGTGAAGGCTCATGTGAATTAACTTTTGAATGAAGACGGGAGTCCTGAATGAGTTTGTGTTAGTGGTGAGGTAGAGCAGAACCAAACAAAAGTTTCAACCTTTTCCATGGCCAACAAACAGGGAAAAATGTCATGCTTCCGACGATTCGACGAAATTAAATAACGTCTATCAAAAAATGATGATAATAATAATACCTTATTTGGGGAAAATGATAAAAGATCATTAAATTTCGCGAAAGCGTTGTCAACGTCATTTCATTTTCAAAAAAAAAAGTCTGAACTACAATCTTTCTAAACAAACTGGAAGAAGTTAAGGTGTACATATTGTCCTAGAGTCCGCAATGTTCCTAAACATCCAGGTCTTCAAAGGGATCTTCCGGTGGAAGTTTCTTTGAGCCACTAACAACATCAGTTGCGCCAGCCTTCTTCCACCCTTTTGCAATTGAATGTCTGCCTTCAGAGCTAGACAATTGGTTGTACATGCTAACGATCCAAGTTGCATGAATTGGTTTGAGAACGGAGAGTCGCAGATCAACATCAACATCATCGAGGACCACCCCTGAATCTAGTTGACTTTGAATTTGCGCCGAGTACCAAGACGTGAATTGGTCTTTTATAAACTTTTTTGCTTCTCTATCAACAATCAAATCATCTTCAGATGAAGATGAGTAGTTAGACTTTCTGCTCGATATATTCATGTGAAATCTTTGCAAATTACCTTTATTGATCACACAAGATGCAAAATGGAGCTTACCAGGGAAAAATTTATTATTTATGTCGACACATAAGCTGTACATGTCGTTGTTGATCATGTTTATCAAGTTTTTTGTGATTCAAATTTCTTACCATCACCCATGGTATTTAACTTCGCGTGTGTAAATTTCGCGAGGATTTTTATTCGCGATACTTTAATTTCGCCATTTAAATTTTTACAATCCCGAAAATCGCGAAATTAATTATGAATAAGGTAGTAAGTGTAATAATAATCAGCAATAATAATAATAATTATTATAATAATAACAATAATTATGTTAAGTTAGATTTCACTGAACCTAAACCGGAAACGGAAACTGATTCTAATCTAATATTTATACAGGTCAGTGATCCGAAAAAAGGCGTAAATTGCCCACTGATGTATCGAGAGTATCTAATAAATGTAAAGAAGATCATTGCAGTTAAATGAGATTCAACTTATACATAGGTCATCAGGTTACCATATGTTACGTACCATCATTAAATGTCTGAAAGTCAAGATACGAGAAAACCTCAAGATTTACTATTTAGGAAAAATTCATTTTGTTCTAAGTCTCCTACCGAGAAATAGTATGCTCATAACGACACCTTTGACCGAGGCCTTAAATCCCTTGAGTAAAATGGAATTTTATGGTGGACACAAACGACCGGGGTAAGCAGAGTAGATGCACCCACGCAGTAAAGTGAATTATTTACTCATGGAGTCACTGTAAATGAAAAAAAACTGTTTTTTTTTTAATTTTTGTGAACGGGAATCTCAATTAACGTTTAGGGCTACTTAGAAGTTCCTGATTACTTCAATCGAACGCACTCTTAACTTCATGATAAGGACCATCTTTCACCGCGAAGCTCTCATAAAGAGAAACGAAGAGAGTTCAGGTACAGGGTCACCTCTTACTGAAATGAGTCACATGTTGGAAATTGCATAAATGACTTCAACACCAGAAAACTAAAGGCAAAAAAACTGAAAAAAGACAATAAGACGCAATAATATCCGGGTTTAACGCTTAATCCTAAATGCATAACAAAATATTTACTTTTTTTAGTTTATCTTTTTTATTTTATATCTTTTTCTCCATATTTTTCGCGGTCTGTAATTCGATTTCTAGTTTTTGAAAACACCGAAGGTTCATCTGCTTTAAAAGAACCTTCCTCGCTTAGAGAGGTTGCTGGTTATTTCTGATTGTTGAATCTGTTTCAGCAAAGAAAACAACACCAAAGAACAAAAAAAAAAGAAAGAAAGAAATGGTGTTAACGTTTATTTTGCTTTGGAACAACTAACTGCAGCTAAGGTGAATAAATATATTTTCACAACTTCAGCAAACAGGTATTGTTATGCAGTAGTTTTTATTTACCTTCACGACTTGTTTTTCCAGCCTCAACCCTTTTTCCTAAAATTGTATTTTAATGTTAAAGAGTAGCGAGCTTTCATGATTCACCCAAAGACTGTGCCCCAAGATAAAGCTTCTAAAAGTCTCATGTATCTTGAGATGTTATATAATTTATAATATCATAGTTCTGATAAACTATCAGCACATTGTATTCTAGATTCTCAGAAGTATACATCAGGGTGGCAATATTACTTTTTTCTTTTATATTTATGTGTATTAGCCCCATTTGCCTCGGGTAAATCTGTGGAAATTAAAAGAATATCTACCCTTAAACAACGCATAAGAGATAATTATCATGAGGACGAATGAATAACTAAATTCTGCGGTATTTTAGAACAAGATGTGTTTGGCACAGTAAACATTGAAGGATAGGGATAATTAGATGTCCATCTCCTTGGATGAATAATCCACGTTTTGGACCCCAATGCTAAAAATTTTTATCTGCATTATCTTCTTTTACAACGATATCTTTCGGTGGTTTTTATAGGTAACAGTAGTTGTTCCACACATTCCCATTACCAATTTCATAATGTAAATTTATCCAAAGTATCACAGCTAAATAAATAACGTGTTGTGATAGGTTCAGTTAATAGCATTCGTGGAAGATGCTTGCCTTATTGCCTTCAAAAAGGCTATAATATTAAAAAATAAGTAATCTTTGGTACTTAAAATCTTAGGGGTACGAGCAAGAAGTACACTGAGTACTAGAGGTATTTTTCCTCTTTGGGGTCGGCTCAGGCCGACAGGTTTTCGGCCTGTTAGGATTAAGATTTGACCGAAACCGGACTGAAAATTAAACGCGTATGATAAAGACCATGGCACCCAGGGTAAACCAGAGGTAGCCTGAGATTTTACGTCAAAGCGAACAGAAAATAGATGATTCTTTAAAAGTCAGACTGGCATCAAATGAGAGACGGACGGCTGGTTGTTTTATTTCGCCACTTTTAATTTAGGTGAGAACCGACTGAAATCCTGAACAAATGCCACCCTAAAAAGGTGTGAAATACATTTTTATGAAATTTGTTCATTTGGGTAAAGAGAAAGATATCCTTTGAGTAGAAAACAAAAGACAGCGATATATAAGTTTCACTGTAAAACGGCACCTCAAGGTTACTATTGAAATCAAGAAAAAAAAAGTCAGTTAGCCCCCGATAATGAAGCGTATCTTTCTAGTTTTCCTTGCTTTAATAGCAGTCATTTATGCAGAACCCGATAGACATCCCTATGTGGTAAGTGTTATCATATATTTTTGCCGTTTTTATCGCTTAACAGTCATACTGAAAATGTATTTTTGTACGAGTTGCATTTCAAGTGGACAAGGAAATTAGCGCAATTGAATGATCCAATAAAAGAAATGAAGCTTAAACGTAACACGACATATGAAACCAATAGACCATTAAAAAATTCAGCATTGATGTTTAGTTTAACCCGATGTTAGTCTTCTTGAGACAGCTTTGAGGGAGTGCTAGGAGAGCGTATCCTTAATCTCAGTCTTAAGCCGGTAAACTGGTTCGATTGTAATTAATGCCAATCTAATGATTTGGTTTTGTCTCGAAGAAGTAGAACTTTTACGAAGATACATCTTGTTCAGCAGTGTTCCGAGGAAATTAATTACAAAAACTTCGACGAGGTTCATGTTCACCGATGAACTTGATGAAAAGTTTTCAACATTATATATGCGATAAATTGAAACGACTTCTTTTTAGTGAAAATTTAAGGTAGAGGAAAATGCTTTTGATGATATAGCCATTTTAAACGACAATCTTAAACCCAAGGGGCATTGCCATATAAAAATGATGAGTTGTGTTCATCGTACTTTTTAGAGGGTAAAAAGACTGTCATTAGAGTAACTGCAGTGTCTTTTAGCGGTATATAGTCGAACGAAACAATTTTTGGGGGTAACTGCTTGGGATCGTGGTTTACTTTAGGGAGAGCTGTTTTCGAAGAAGCCACCACCCATGAGCATTCATGTCTGAAGGGAAACATTTCCGGAACCGGTTAACTTGCCATTTTGCTGTAGATCGGTTCTAAACGTCTACAGTGTCAATTAGCGTCCACATTAGATACTGCGGACAAAGGCACATGTTTTACACGTTCAGTTGCTCATAAATTCGTTTATTTGTTGATTATAATTATTCATGATCTGGCTTATGACCATCAGCAATGCAAAATTGACCTGTATGACTGCATGAACACTCCAGACAAAGGGACAATGGAGTGCTTGAAAGAATACATGACATGTATGGAGCAACTTATCCCAACCTTACCACCAATGCCACCATCCGTAGTAAGTCAAGTTAATGTGTAGTACAAATGTAGTCGATAGAGTCACTGTTACGGCAAACGGTAAACGTCAGATTCAAGTTAAGAATTTCTATAAAAATAGGGAACAAGCAGTTGAAAACAGTCCAAGACATTTCTAATGGGTAAAACTTGTAGCGAGTGATGAAAATTAAAAGACGTGTAAAGGGAAAACATGGTCACACGTTACAAATTCACGTTTGCGGATTGCCAAAAAAGTGACTAAAAACCACTTTATTCAAATAAGGTAGCATACCTCTTCGTAAGGCTGGGTACTTCAAATTAAAGGCCCTTCCTCTTTCCTCCTCGTAGTTTCTGCCTTTTTGTTTTTCTTCTTCATTTTGTGAAAGCTGTTGCAGAGAATTTTGAATTTAACTTGCAAAGTGAATACTTCTTGTAATGAGCTTTCCAGTGTTTTTTTCTTTCTTTTTTTCATAGTCATATTTTGACTAACTATGTATACCTCTGCCTATTTTAGCAATGTGTAAAGGACTTGTATAAATGCTTCACAAAGAACGAAGTTGGCAACTTCGCCTGTGTGAAGACATTTGGTTCCTGCTTAAACCAAGAGCTGCCGTCATATATAGTATGTATGCTCTTTTTAGTGAAATAAAATTGATCACAGTGCCACACTGAACAGCATCGACTTCATTGCTTTACGAACCTCAAATCCAGAAACTAACTTATAATTTACCAGAATTTCAAAATTAACCACTTATTATATTGTATAATTATATTCTCTTGACAGCAAGCCTGCAACAGTGAAGTGCAGCAGTGCTGGAACTCAGTAACAGGTTATATGGACAGATTTAAGTGCTGCACGTCTTTCGCATATTGCTTTCTTAACGGACCAACTGCTGCTCCCAGTGCAGCTGTATTTGATGCAATTGAGGAGGAGGATCAATCGAATGACTTAAGTGATGCTGCTGTGAGTCTATACTTTACTTATGATTTTGCTAGTTGTCAATGTTTGTATCAGGATAGATTTCATTTCAAACAAATAATAATACAGTGACACCAATGAAATAGAAAAACCTTCAAATGCACTGCATTAAAACAACTACTGACAAAACGCGTAAATAACAGTGGAATTCACTATAAGAGGCCTTAATACAGTACTCGAAAAAAAAATCATAAACAAAAACGTTAAATGACTCGCAGAAAGTGTCATAAGAACGGGTGGAATTTTTTCGAGTGACTTATGGTGGAAAGAAAACATGTGGTTCAATTTTCACAATTATTTTACATTATTTGTTTAAAATCGGAGCATTTTTAAAAAAAATCCCATTCATCTGTAAAAGACGAACGATAAAGCTAATACAACCTAAGTTTACTGTAACTTGCTTTGACTTGTTTGTTTGCTTGTATATGTTGTTAGAAATGTAAGGGCGATTTTGGTAAATGTCTTAAAGAAGAAAAAGGCAAGAATCCCAAGATCTGCTTCAAAAAACTTAGAGACTGCATGGTTGCACTGATTCCTCCATATGTGGTAGGTTAAAGCAGATTAATAACAATAATAATAATAGTAATAGTAAATAAAAAGCAAATAAATGACCTAAATAAAGGGATATGCGTATTAATTCAGGGCCAAAATCTCCCAACAGTTCTATCTAATTTTGATGCAAGGATGATAAATGGTCGTATTGTTTAATATTTGTGGCAAGATTGACCTTTTACACTATTCATAGGAGAGTATCATAGGAATTGCTTAGCCAGTATTTAAAGAAAGAACGCTAACATATATCTCTTGCTTTCAGATCCAGTGCAAGGATAAAGCTAAACAATGCTATAACAACGCTAGCGGACTGGAGGACAAATTGACGTGCGGAAAAGAATTTGCTATCTGTATCAGTAATGGCGCGCCCACTCTGGCTCCTCCTACATCGTGATATCCCTTGTATTAGAAGGAGAGGTTGCCCTTAAAATTTTAAGTATTAATTTTCCGTTAATTTCAATGAGTTTGAAAGGAGAATAAAGTCAAACATGATGAATAATTCTGTCTTTATTTAATTGGGTACCGTGTAATAGGGGTGGGTTGGGGGGACACGGCAGTGAAGCTGCATTAGGCTTTCTCCAACTTTTTCCCTCGTGTCCAAGTGTTCTGTCATGATCTTATTGAATACAGAAAAACCATAATCGTCTCTTTCGCCAATGAAAAGGGAAGGAATGCAATCTTTGCATAAGGAAGTAGAAGGAAAAATGAAAAGAATAGGTTGCCTGGAGAATGGTCTTCTTTTTGCCAATCGCCTTACAGTCAAAAAAATCTTATATAAACACCTCTTTTTATTTATTTATTAATTTCCCCTTTTTGGTTAGGCTGAAGATGAATGAATGTTCTGTTACAAGAGGGAAAAGCAACAATGTAACAAACAGCGGTCGAATAAAAAGCTTAAAGGAGTTAACTTTAGAGAACTGTTCGTCTTTTCCAATTCTAGAAGCTAATGGAGTTTTCAAAACCTGATTTCTTTATTTCACTATAATTTTGTTCTTTGTTTTGTTTTGGTTTTTTTCAATTAGTAAAGAACTTAATACAAAAAAAGGAAAGAAAAAGGAGAAAGTGTTCCATACTCAAAGTGTATACATTACAGCCAATAACAGCCGCAAAATTGCTGAAGGTGGCTTCTTTTACAGACAGTTAATTATTATCATCATTATTTTTTTTACTTGTGATGACAAAAATGTGATAATCAATTTTTGTGCTTACTTGCGTAAAAGAATAATATATTTGTGAAGAAATCATCTGTTTATAATAAAAAGGGCACAATGGCCTTAACAGGTACGTGAGGTTCATTATAGGGTAAGGAATTAGGAATTACGATCCCCCGGCTAAACTTTCTCTAGAACTTGGTTTAAGAGATGTTAAAGCCATATCGACACTACTATTAGTACAAAAACAAACAAACAAACAAACAAAACAAATTAAGTGCAAAACCAACCTATAGCTAAGGGTGAAATGAAAATAGCAGCACGGGGGTGGGGGTGTATTCTAAGAAGAGAAAAAGAAAAGGTTGCTCCAGTAAAGAATCGTTTTATAAATAGAATAAATAAAACACAAAGGGAGAAAACAGGCTATCTAAATAATTGTTCTCAAAAGTATTTTATTTGTTGTTTTTTCAGTGGAAACTTATCAAACGCGTTCATGGCAACATTTGCCTCGTTTCGTTCACATATTTCTTACGCGATGCTCTGGCCCTATCACTTGTCTGACGTGTACGGCCCTCACGCAGAACTTTCAGCGAAATTACCCGCGGGGCCGTACGGGTCATATGATAAATGTGAAATAAGGTCAATCCGGGCAAGGGCCAAAAATAAGATGAAATGGAATTTAGCTTTGTTTAATCAGGTGATTAACTATTTGATATTATTTTTGCAGCGGTTTTTCTTTTTCCTTTGACAAATTATACAACCTTTGCCTGGCTTTAAACCCCTGCGTTACTTATTTACTAAACCGGTTTTCTTTTTCTATTATCAATAACATAGTTCATTAGCAAACAACTATTGTAATGCTACAACCTTAAAACATATTTCAACAGGAGGCTTGCTTTTTCAGCTTCATTAAAACAAAACATTTTATGAAAACAGTACAGCTCTTGTAAATAACGCGGAACGTGGTATGCTATTACACCTTTCATTTTCAGTATAATGTACTTTTCTTTTCTTTGAGATACCTCACAAAAGCCAGCTCATAAAAGGTTGCTTTTTTCCCACCACAACTAAAAGAATTAAGTGGCAGAAACTTGCAGGCATCCAGGATGAAGTACTTCGTGACAGTTTTTCTTTTTGCGCTAGTGGCAGGTATCCGATCGGAATACTTTGAAGACTTAGTCCTCAACGATGGTGAAATACCTCCAAGACACCCGTATTTTGTAGGTTACAACACAGTTCTTTTTATTTCTTCATTAATGGACACATTTAATTGCTCATTTTAATTTCTTATTTCTTCTTTTCCTGCTTTTCACACTATTTATCATGCAGAATGGCTGTTGTTCTCGTGATATTTTACTTACAGTCGTGTGTTAAGAACATAGGGCCGTAATATTACAGCTGAAGCGTGAACTAAATTACTCTCATTGGTAAAAGTCTGCGCGGTTTGTCCTTTGTGTAGCGAATACCGTCTTGCTCATCAACTTGTAGGGCAGAGCAAAGAAAAAAGGCCATGCGACGTTTTGTTTATATTTTTTTTGAGCCAAATCTTAAATGGCTAATATTATTTATTATGTTGTGTAGACTAAACGTGGTGGGCTTCAAAACATTCAATGATGTACGTAAATAACCTTTAGCAATGGGAGAATAGCGGCTTGAGTGATTTTTCCTCTCGGGTACTTGAGTATCGACGAGACAAGCGATAGATTTTACCGGAGATCAGAACCTCAAGTTATTAGTTCGCTGTGTTTCTTTCTCCAAAGAATTAGCCTCAAATTCGTTAGGTTACCATTATAACATGGCCCCATGAATTTAAAATGACCAAATGGCAGATGGGGTAATTTCAACAGAGTTTACATTGTATTTGTCTCGGAGTTGTATAACTTGCAGATTTGTTTGCATCATTTGTGTCCTTCTATACACAGAGCAAATTTTCTATCACGATTACCTTGATTTGTACGGGTTTAAGGAGGAGTGGATAATTCAAATTATTACAAACTGAATCATTGGATAATGCAATTCTGGTATTTTGATTGGCTTAGCCGTTATGGTATATGAGCTATTAGTATATACACACTCAGTGATCTTGGTGATTTAAGCAATCTGATTGGTTCGCTATCTCGGACTATTCAACAATATTCACCTCCTAGCGAGTGGATAATGTGTGAGCTCGGTGTTTTTCCCGTTTTTTTTAGAGAACGATCTTTTAAAAGTCGACAAAATCCTAGGGCTGACTTTTTTTAAGGCAAGAAAAGACTTGGAAGGATTCAATACGGCGTTTTTCAATTTACTGTAGCAGGAGTTTTGTGCTCGATGGATTGTTTACAACTCCCGTGTATTCGCGTAGAAGAAGCCGTTTCGTGAACTCAGCGTTTTCTAAGAAGAAAATTTTGGCTCAAAAATCGAAGTTTATTTATGACAAACAAATTTAAAAGGAAATGTTTGCAGAAATTCTACATTTCAAGTAAACGGGAAAAAGAATGATACAGGAAGACGACCTCTTACCTCGAGCAACCGAGCCGCGATTTTTGCGAAGAGCGACACAACATGCCCTTTTGGCTATAAACTTGGCGAGTCAACAGAAAACAACACAGCTCTACTTTTTTTCTCAGGTAAGGAAACAGTTCAAACTTTTAGCGATTCCATTGAAGCCATTACGCTGTTGTTTGCGAAATGAGTAAACTTGTGAATTGCCATGTTTGAAAATTCTGCAAAGATCTATTTTTAAACTTACGCGTGATTTGATCTGTCAATCAAATCCTACTTTTGAATGGTTTCCTTTCTGATTTTGTTGAGATCACTTCGTGTGTATATACTAAAACAATTATTCTTCTCAATCTCGGTGAATAGTGGCTTTCGCGGCTCGGTAAATATTTTGCCACTATTCACCTCGATTTCAAAGAATAAATTGTTAATTATACCATGCTCTCCATATATGGTCGGGGTACGCGTCAGTTTAAAATTGGAAGCTAGCTGACATTTTTTTTCGCGAAGGATAGAACGGCGCCCGAGGCAAATCGTTTTAATTCATTTCTTAGAATACTAGAAATGCAATTTCATCGAAAGAAAAAAGACAAAAACAAACAAAAAAGCCACAAGAGCTTGTTTGAAAGTTTGTAGAAAAACACATGAAAACACATGGAACTACCTTGACCAGCTACTTAAGAAGACAAGTGTTGTTTCTTCATGATCGCGAAGCCATTCGCCGATCGAGTCACCCGCCGATAGATAACTGCGGCTTTTTTATCCGACATCAAGAATATAAATCACAAGTAACCAGCTACAAATACAGGCTATGCAGCCATTCACTAGAGCAATCGAGGCGGCAGTATAGCTTCTTTTCTCGTTCAGCAAAACCAGCTTGTGGCTTCAAACAACTTCATAACAAGCGACCGAGGTAATAGTTTTTCTCTGTTGTTCTTTCTTTTATAACTGCACCGAAAATCCAAATTCACAGTAACTTCGACGGCTGTCACTTAAAAATTCTTTTCCTTCACATTATCTGCCAGGTTTTTTTAGCTGTTCGGCTGTGTAAAACCCTAGAATCCCCATGATTTTTTTGAAAAACTAATGTTCATTGCTACAATGTTTTGATTTTTCATTCATGCCGTCCAGGCGAGTCCGTTCGCGCGTTGACAGTTTTGATGGACGTGTGACATGTGAATAGCGGAAGTCCGTTGTCTTTTCCGGTTTGCTCTAGTCGGGGAGATTCAACGAGATTTTGTGGGCGTTTTTAATAAAACAATTATTCCACTCGCGCTTTTTGGATATGAGATGATTATAGCCAACTCGGCGCTACGCGCCTCGTTGGCCTCTCCATCATCTCATATCCAACGCGCCCTCGTGGAATAATTAGGGAGTTTAAGATACGGAGACTACGGACTACGAACTACGGCTGGACGAGCGTTGTCCTTTGTTTGTAGCACTGGGTTGAGTCGTGCAAATATAGAACGTTAATATTCCACTACAGACGGCAGACTACGAGAGAAGAGGCGGAGAGGGAAACAACACGCAAAAATTTTCTTGTTTTCACCACAGTTCACAAAAATGCAAGTCAGTTTTGCATGTGATCTTATCTTTAGAACAATGAACAAGTTCTTCCATACTTGAAGGAAGCAATTACGTACAAGTCGATTCGCGTACAAGTTGATTCGCCTACAACTTTACTCCTTGTTCCATCACCGTGGCTCGGGTGAAATTGGTAAACAAAGTTTTGGTTGCACAGGTTTTATTTTTTTTTCGCCCATGAATACTTATGTAAAATATTAAAGAAATAGACAGAAATAGTAATAGCTCATTTATTAGATTTAGAAGATGGACTTCTTCGACTACTGATCTGATGTAGTTTGAAGTATTGAAATGACCAGTTTCGATTGTCTCGAAGATGTTTACATCATTTTCATTCAGCAAATGCGATACAAAAACTCGCATAAACAAAGGTCACACAAGTAGAAAGCCACACTAATCAGTTCGAACAAACATTGAAACTTTTCAAGTGTGAAGAGAAAGTAAATTACCTGCATGATTTCTCTTCTCCTCGGCCATCAATCGGAATTCTGCGTATAAACAGCTAAGCTTCTTTAAATATGAGCTTAGCTAGATAAAAATGTAGTCACAACGGTGGATTAAAAGCGTAAATCTGAGCAGAAATTAGACACAACTTACATATTTCGCTTCCCTCTCACTTAAAGCAGGCAAATTGAACCTTTTTTACGAAAAGACGAGATTCTTGAATTACCGAGACGGCAAAATACGAGCAAAATGTTCTCCGTAGTCCCGACTACGCGAAACAGCTCAACAACTCACCGTAGCCGCAGGACTACGCGGGAAAAATGAACAGTCACGTGGTTTTGATCATGCGCAGTAGCATGTTTATCCGTAGCCGTAGTCCGTAGTCGGAGTGTCTTAAACTCCCTATTGTTAAATAGCAGATCCAAGATGGCAGATGTTTCCAGTTGTTATCTTAGTTCAATTTTTTGCAAAATGTGCATTGAAAAGCTGGCAAAAGCCAGTCGTTTGGAGGGTGCTCCTTATCCCTCAGTGGTTTATTTAAACCAACCGGTGATGTTTATTAATAATAAATGACGTCATCGTGACATCACTGCTATTGTTAAAGATTATTTAAAATTACGTTAATGAACTTCTTGATCTTATAAAGTACTGACTAATTAAGTATTTTTCGCTTTATGGCTACTTTAAGGCGGAAAAAAATAATGAAATTTTGGTTTCTACTAAAAAATTCAACAATGCCACGTCATATGGTGTCAAATTAACTGTCATTTTGTTAATCAAGTAATACCTAGGTGTTTGAATTGATGAGTACATTATTGGCTGTAAAAAACGGCGGCCGTATCTTAAGCGCCCTGTTTCAAAGTTATAGAGGGAGGCCTTCAAAGTCCTCTGAAGGCCCTCCGACGGTCGCAGAAAGCAAATTAACAAAGTTCGGCCTGAGAAAGGTTAAGACAATACAATTTTTTAAAGAACAACTTCATTACTTTTATACTGTTTTGCCTCATAAAAGTAACCGAAACGTGTTTTCATAGCAATGCAAAATCGACCTGTACGATTGCATGTTTCATGATGACACGAAAGGTTGGTGGACTTGTACGAAGGAATACGTCACCTGCATGAAGCAGCTAATACCACCCAGACCACAATCTGTTGTAAGTATATTATCTATTACTACAGTCGAACCCCGCCTAACGGCCACCTCGGTAATACGGTCACCTCGTTATTACTACCACTTAATGATAATTGACAAGGGGGTTTCTGTTAGCCAACAGTAGAGCTTTTACAAGAAGTTTTGAGAGGATAGCTACTTACTTGTTCCTTCAAGGCTAGTTAGACAGGTTTTTAGAAAATCCGTGGAATCAATAAGCAAAGACAACAAGTTTAATTGAATGAACTAACCATTTTTATTTTTCCTTCTCTTTAGCAATGTACCATAGACTTATATTACTGTTTTAAAGAGAACCAAGTTGGAAACTTCGAGTGTACCAGTAGATTTGGCTCCTGTTTAAACAAAGAATTACCTTCATTTATAGTAAGTATATAAAACATAACTTAATGGTATTCTTAACTATACAATAAAGGAGGAAGTTACTACAGGTTACCAATAAGGATCTTCGATTTATACCAATTTACGAGCCTTACAACATACGCCTTGCACACAAACCGATACTAAACCACTTTACGACGGCTACTTACTAATGTTAAGGACAAAGACAAACCGGAGGAGAGACAAGGAGCAGTATACAAGATCAAATGCTGCGACTGCCAGGCCACGTACATTGGTGAGACCGGCAGAAACCTTCTAGCATGCACGTGACTGACTGAACACAAACGAGCGACAAGACATGGTGATCAGATCAACAACCACATTGCTGAACACCATTTACGGACAAAACATCAAATCGACTGGGACTCTGCGCGACATGTATTACGTATTCCACAGACCACTATCAACGACTCACTTTAAAAAGCAGGTTTACTTCTCAACTAATTTATCGGCACCATGCAAACGCGTTATTGACGGACTGACGCAAAACTGTCAACGCCTGCAGACAATTTGACTAACAACAAACTGTGACAACGGATCGAGACGCACCAATGACATTTAGAGTTTTCATAGCTAACAACACTACGGCTTAATTGATAGAGGACCAATAACACCGCGACTTATTTGACCAATCAAGTTAATAACCAGAGTGTAGTGCACCGGAAGTAGTTATACCTGTTGTTGCTGCGACTGAGATTATTATGTAATACCGTACCCGTGGCGATTCCAGGAGATGGGCCATCCATATTTTTAGACCAAACTTAGAAAAAAAATTTGTTTTGAGACTGCAACCCCCCCTTTATCTCAGGGTCCGGACGACCAGACCCCACCCCCCAGAAAAATAATATAGAATAAAAATAAGCAGAATGTCACTTAACAAAATATTCATGTTTCTAATAAACCCCTCTAGCGGAAATGCTAAAATACAAAAACTAATAGCAAAACATATATTCGAATGCTTTGAAAAAAGGAAAGGGGAAGACGGCAAAAAGTAAATACTCTAGGACTTAATTAACTAATAACTTATTAGCCATATATGGTTAGGAATTTTTCTTGTTTGCAATTTTAGTTATTTGGAAATAGTTGATATACTCCAAATAAAAAACATGTAAGTATCATGCCCATCCCCCACCCCACCCCCCTCTTATATGAAGGTCTGGATCGGCCACTGCGTACTAATTATTATTGGATGTAGTAGAACACAAGGAGGAAATATGTGTGTATTGTGTAAGCCTGATTAAAAGCATGTTGAGTTGTTGAGTTGTCCAATATTCTGAGACGAAACCATTACACAGAGTTCAATACCATCAAACCGAGGTGATACAACCCAGTTGACTCTGAAAATGACTACCACATAGGTTGTCCAAACGCTACAACAGTCCTATTCAGGACTATGATCACCAAGACGATCATGCTCCACCTTCCAACGATCACAATTGAAACAGCTTTAATTGAAAACTAGCTGCTTTAGCCTGATGTTGACTATTTTAAACTAATTTTTGTCCTCCGCAGCAAGCTTGTAATAAGGAAGTCGCACAGTGTTGGAGCTCAGCCTCAGACTATAATATAGCAGCGAAGTTCAAGTGCTGTACATCATTTGCATACTGCTTTCTCAATGGACCAACTCCAGCCCCAAGTATTGCTGCCCTGAAGGTTGAAGATGCAAGCCAAATGCAGGATGTCAGCGGTGGAATTGTGAGAGTCCCTAATAAATAGGCTAACTACCGGCATGCACAAAACGCAAGTTACCGGTAACAGGTCACAAGTGAAGGTTATAGTACAGGACACCATGCTATGGTAAATAAACAACACTAAAAACGTCTCCTAGCCCTATTCACAATCCGAAATCGGAAATAGGAGGAAACAATTTACTCAGTCATTTGTCAACAGAGAAGTGACCTGCACTCAGTGCGACCTGTTACCTGTTACCTGCCAGTTGACTACGTGTGTCAATTTGTGCGAAAATGACGTGTTAGCAAATTGTTGGCCAGATTCTATGTCTTTGAAATTAATCGATCACTTTGTTATTTGATAACCTTAGCCGCTGATTATATGTCACCAATTGCTTATTTTAAGAAAGCGATTGGGCATTCATTATTCGAGAGTATAGCTCCTGAGTCCACCATTTTCTATTTTAGCTGAACAGACGGTTAGCCTCCAATGAGTTGGTGTTTTAATCGTTTTTTTTTTTAAATTGAATTCTTGGTTCACAATAAAAGCGGAATAAAAACAAAATGGGGGTAAAAACAAGAATCTGATTATGGTGTTAGAATGAGAATGAAAGGAGCAGCTGGTATACAGTCTAAGTTGGGAAAACTGGGAAAACTTAAACATTAAAGGAAAGCTTTGCGAAAGCTTTATTATGTATGCCTAAAAAATACCACTCAAAAACGGCCAGCTCGACCAGAGCTGTAATAAAGTAATGACTATGAAGAAGTAGTTATCGAATGGCTTTTGGACCCATCTATGAAGCCAACTGGAATTGAACAGTAAACTTGATATTAATATTGTGCCAGCATTTGTTGTTTTTCCGTTTTTTCAGCAATGCAAAAAGGATCTTTACAGCTGTTTAAAACCTGGTGAAGACAAGAAGGTTTGCTTTAAAAAGTACAAAGCATGCATGTACGCCCTGGTTCCTCCCTATGTCGTAAGTTAAAACATTATGTATCACCACTTATTTTAATTCCATCCTATTTAATGAGTACTCTTTAACTACTTACTCTTACTTAGTTTAGGAGACAAAAAAAGCAAAACATTCGTAATAAAACACACAGAACCAAGGGCCCAATAGTCCACTTAAAACTTCTAAACTGTCATACAAAGTTATGTAACTACTTACCCTTTCAGTTTCAACCATTTCCTAAATTAAAGCTTGGCATCTCGTCGCCTTTAAAAGAAATACCCTGTTTTTTATTGTTATTTAGTTATGTACATATTTGTCATTAGTTAGTTATTTATGAGCTCACCTTGGGATCCATTTGTTGCAGAGACAGTGCTATGCGAAAGCCAAAGAGTGTCTTGGAAATACCAGTGGCTTCAACAAGTATAAGTGTGTTAGGGACCTCGCCATCTGTCTGAAAAATGGCGCTCCTACTACAACTCCCCCAAAACCTTCAGCTTCTTAATTCAGAGCTGGAAGAGTGGGTTGGAAAAACCACATTGGCGACAAGAAAATTTAATATTTTCGTGTATAAGGCATAGAATAGTACAAGAAAAAATTAAACAGTTCAAAAAAAGCACAGTTTGTTTTAAATGTCTCAGTTGCCTTTTGCATTTTTCGTAAGGGACACCTGCAATCCAGGACCAAACTAACCCTCCATTTCTAAGCCTACAGTATACCGTTGTTATAAGTTTCCCTCTTTTTATTTATCACAATGTTAATTTCAGGCCCCGTCCAAGTGAATCAAGATATTTCTGAAATCGCTTTTTTTTTCACGAATAGCTAGCCTGGTCAAGTAGGTTTTTTGGCTAATCACACCACGCTTTCAGGTCCTTATTTCGGATTTTCAATGGCAGGTCTTAGATCGCAAAATTCGACTTGTAATGCTTTCAAAGTTTTTTTTTGTTTAGCATTGTGATGGTGTTACTCCAAACGAATTTCACGTAAACAAATCGCTTTTAAGGCGATTAAAAAGATAGGTATGATCCCCGAAAACTGTTTCGAGAGACCTTCAGAAAAAAAACACAAACGTGTATGTGCACACCCCCCTCCCCTCCAAAAAAGTGTCTATTTGCCGCCATCACCTTCTTATTTTTAGGGAGCTTAAACAACGACGGCGGCGACGTCAACAAGTACGGCAAAAAAGCAATTGGTTTAGATTGGCAAAACAACAACTTTTCTCGTGCAGCACGCTTTTTTTCAATTTCTTTGCCGTCACTGTTTAGCACTACCACGACCTGAATGAATGTTTCAAAGTTTCATTCGGATGTCCCGAAGTTGCTTCCGAATGTCGCGACATTTCTTCGATATCTTCGAGTTCTTTGATTTATTCTGACTTATTTTTATTTATTATTCTGGCTAAAGTATTTTACAAAAACATTGAAGCAATTTGGGCTAATAGCTTCAAAATACGAACGAAAATCCTGTTTAATATGTCGTTTCTCCAATACGTTTGCGAGATACATATTTCTACTTTATGTTGCGATTTTGTACATGAATTATCCTCGGTGTGGAGATTGTGTATTTTCAGCAAAGTTTTTAAGGGGGTGTACTGGTGTTAGTTAGTTACATAACATAACATAACATAAAACTTTATTTAAACTCGAATTTTAGGGTAGCTAACAAGCTAATATCTTCGAGCTGACACTACATAAAAACTATATAGAAAATATATATATACATTAAATGCAAGGAAAGAAAATATCATTTACAATTCACAATTTTAAGTTTAAGTATGTCAGGCAAAAAGAATCTACATGAAGGTAACATCCTGTATTTTAGTCTTAAAGTCTGCAAAAAAACTGGTACGAAAAAAGTCCGGCAGTGCATTCCACTGCTTAGCTGAAAAGTAAGAAAAGGAGTTAAGACCATAGGTAGTTGTTTTAGGTTTACTTAGTGAAAGAATGTAGTTGCCACGAAGATCATAGGAAGAGGACCGGAGTGAAAACATATTCTTCATATATGTAGGAAAATGAGTGAAAAACAAACTCTTATATAACAGAATGAGGAAATTTTGAATGCGTTTGTTAAACAAAGAAGTAGAGCTGACTTTTGAGAGAAGAGTGTTGTATGGAGACGAGTAATCTCCAAGTATAAATCTAAGTATTCTTTTATTTAAAGCTTCGAGCTTATCTGCATCGCGCGCTCCACAAAAGTGCCAGACAGAGGAGCAATAATAAAAGTGAGGTAAAATATACGCTTTGTAAAGTTTGAATAAGATTTCCTTGCGTATGAGTTTTCTAAAGCGCAACATAACGTTAAATTGATTATTAATCTTTTGCATACATTTGATATATGTTTAGAAAAATTCAGTTTATTATCTATTTCATTCCAAAAATCTCTAACGTGTCCTTTACTGGGAAGGAAAAACCATACTCCGTATCACCGAGGATTAGACACTGGTGCTTGCTCTCATTAACTAACATCCCATTTTCATGGTACCACTGATTGGCCACGCCAACATCATGAGATACGCATGCATCCAGAGCTGCCGGATCGACGTGGGAGTAGTATACCTGATGATCATCCGCATAAGCGTTCAACTTGGCCTTCTTGACGTGGAAGAAAAGATCGTTTATGAAAATGTTGAATAGCATGGGACCTAACACACTCCCCTGCGGGACCCCACGCTTGACGCTTTCCCAGGTCGAAAAGGTGTCTCCAACTTTAACTCTCTGAGTTCTGCTAGAGAGATAGTTCCTAATTAGGGCACAACTTTTGTCGTCCATACCATAGGCCCTCAGTTTCGAAAGGAGGAGTGGATACTGAATAACATCAAACGCTTTGGAGAGATCCATAGAAACTACCGCAACAAGCTCCCCTGTCACGCATCATTCTCCAGTCCTCGGTCAACCTTAGCAAAGAGGTCTCGCAACTATAAAACTTTCTATAAGCGCTTATGAAGTCTGATAAGACCCCATTGTAAAATTCATACATCTGCCCCGATAGAAGCCTTTCAAAAATATTGTTTAGAGCAGGGAGCACAGTTACGGGCCTATAGTTGATCTTACAAAACTCGTCGTCTTTTTTTTGTACAGAGGAGTAACCATGCCCATCTTCCAGCTAGCAGGATAACAGCAATGTTCAATGCAACAGTTTATTATACTTGTTATAGGCCGCGCAATAACAGCTGCCGCTTCTTTAATCAACTTTGGTGGGATCATATCGTGACCAGGTGACTTACGTACATTGATCTCTTTTAGTAATAGCTCAACCTGGGTTTCACTTGCACGATGAAAACTGAAGCAAGCTGGAGCACTAGAGCCCCTGTGTTCATGGATTGCTTTGATGCTGGGATGATTTGCATAATCCTCACCGTAATCCTCTGCTCGTATTTCAGGCATGCTGTCAGCAATGTGAACAAAGTAGTCATTAAGCAGATTGGCAATCTCCTTTTTGTCACTAATAATCCTGTCATTTTCTTTCAAGATAATGTCATTGGCTTGCTTACTTTTAGTATGCAAAAAGGGGCGGAAAGTAGACCAGAATTCGCGCGGGTGTTCGGTGTCTGCTGTTTTCCTCGCGAAGTGTTGTTTTATTGCTTTTCGCCTAAGAGAGGTGCAGGTATTACGTTGAGTTTTGTTTACGTCTTCAGTTACGTTGCTGGAGAAGGTGTGGAGTTAACTGTACATAAGGAAAGTGTTGTTGTAGAGGAAATAAAGGAAGTGGAACTGAGATCTCGTCGTCCGCATTTTCTTTCATGACAGATTTGCAATCGAATTGGGTTACAGCCACGGGGTCATGCACCTAGCAGACTTCAGGTAAAGAAGTTAAGACGTCTTTAACACAAAAGGAGACAAGTAAGGGTTATTTGTATGGAAGGGTATCCGGAAAAATATCATTTCTTACTATTCCTCCGCATTCACAATTAATCCTCAACCACGACGCCGAAGTGTACGCTCCCATTGTGTCTAGTTTCAGGTTTTTGGAGGACGTGAACGCAAGACAACGACTTTCTTTTTTCTTTTCCTGAACTTCGATACAGTCTTTTAGAATTCAACTCCGGAAAAAATTGCCAACATTTGACGAATTGAACGAGATGGAATAAAGGCGATAAAGTTTAAGGCAGCGCGACTCACTTTTAGAGTGACATTTTCGTAGCCGTCGCTGTCGTTGTTGCTTAAGCTCCCTATTCATTTCTCCACACATTTTGGCCCGATGTATGGGCAATCAGTTGCCATGGTTAAGACATATGACGTCATAAAAGGAAATTGAATCAAGCCAGGCAAGGTAAGACTCTTTCGTCCTTTTCTTTTGTTCATTAAAAAATCGAAGAGAATAGGTTAAAGTAGAAGAGAAAGTAGCAGTAGAAGAAAAAGAACAAGGCATTTAAGAAGAAGACGAAGAAGAATAGACAAAAGGAAACTAAACAACCATTCAAATTTACAATGTAGTTGCAAAATCATTCATAGATCATTAAAATTGCTCAATTGCCCTTTATCCTTTTAACGTGATAAAAACTCCATTTATATTTTCTAAAAATATACTGTAAAAATTCCGTGCACAAAATCACAAGAAGGCAAAATGTTAGGTCTTTGATGTTATGATTAAGGGCGACTACCACATGTACAGTTTTATCGCTGACATTACCGATACTCTTACGAAAGAGGAACTACAAAATTAAGAGCGAATGCACAGAAAAATCGAGCAAACCGTGGCCACAGCTCAAAACCTAACCTACCCTCATTTTAAGTCTGTAATAAGGTTTTAATGAATTTATAACACTGCTGAGGTTTAATTTTCAAAATGCGTCCGAGTTTGGGAATTATTTGAGATTTTCGATTTCAACGGTCTGCGGGCCTAAAATTAGCCGCCGAACAAGGCAATATAGCCTAGCGACAGAAATGAGCTGAATTTCATAAACGAGCGAATATATTGCCAATCTTCCACTTAAATCTCAAAAAGCAGATATCTAACAATTTCTGAATGGCTTCTTTTTTAGATTTAGAGTATAAAATATCGACGAACCAGCAGAATTTTGAAACGTAATTTGCATAATGCTGATAAATACAACAATTTACCGCTAAAACCAAAATCGAATTTTCTATATGGGGGAATTCTCCAAATCACCCCAAATCCCGCTTACTAACTAATGAGATATAGTACTTCAACATTATCTGAAAGTTAGTCTGGTGTTCTTCCGAACGCTTGTAAAATAGATTGATTATTTTGAAGTTATTTTGCCCCAAACAACTGCTAATTGACCCCAGGGTCAATTGACACGTGCACGTCACCTTAGTTTTACGCATCGATTTGAGCTCGTTAAAAGGGAGAAACTAACAAGATTCTTTTAATATGTACCTGTTTTAATGAAATACACGCAATCGTCAAAATGAGAGGCCGTTCAATGGGTAATTTCTGTTCTTGAGATCTTGTAGATTGTACCATGGCGTCTGCGAGTGGACCTGAGTCTAGGTCTGTTTTCCCGTGACTGCGAAATCAGAATAACATCATGAAATAATTTTCTCTCGAACCTTCGTAAATGAATCAGCTTTGCAGTGCCTTACCTGAGATAAAAAGTGGGCAGAATAGGAAAACATTCTAGCGCAATTTGGATCCTTTGCAGCACGTAGTGTATTTGCTAAGCGGCGATGGTATTAATGACTTTTTAAAAGTCAGGTGAGTAACTAATTAAAATTAGTTACTCACCTCCGATTGCGTGACCAGGCAATTATAGATTGTCTCCAGCGAAAAATAAGTGCATGTGAAACCAAAGCTTTCGGGATACAGTAAATTCATTTTCCTGTATGACCAGGTGTCCTTTTGTCCTATTTTAAAAGCGGTTAACTAAGATGATTAGCAAACATACTGTCCCACTTTTTAAAAATGGTACAGTAACTGAATGTTCTGTTCTTCTGATTTTACCCCTAACCCCGGAGTGTTCAGAAGATATATTTGCACTACGCATGAAAGGCAAATGGATTAAATTTTAAGGTTCAAGGCGGTTTTAAGGCATGGGTTACCAGTGGATTAGTCAGACTTGTCATAAGGTGCATTGAACAGAAAATTACAGGCATGATATCTCTGCTATTGTGTGTCCATTAAGTGATTTTCCATCAAACATTATTTTTTTACTTTTTTACCCCAAAAGTTTTTTTCGTTCAATTCTTATCTATGAGATGTAAACTTAGTTAAATTTCTGTAATTTGTTGTTAAATGCAAATCTGCAAACAACTAAGTATTTAATTTTGCGTAAAAGCTACATGAAATTGTACTGTTTAGCCGTAAATCATTAAAAAGAGAAAGCATCATGCTTTCTCTTTTCAGTCCTAGTAGGACTTAAGCAATGGCATTGCTTAAGTCCTAGTAGTTCTTCTCCATGTCTGCTAAGGGGGAAATAGTTTGCTCTTTTCAAGAAATTGTTCTTGCCCATTGCGGTTTCAAACCAAGGATAGCAGCAAGTCTGTCGTGGTCATATACTGCTACTTCAGTGCAAACGAAGCATAGGCGCACAAGTCAGCGCTTGCGTTTAGTCAGGTGCCGAAAATGAAGTGGAAACTTAACCCTAAGGGCGTCCATGTTCGCTCCGGCTCGAAAAGGTAGAATCAGTTGTGCAGTAAAAAGTAATGCGAAAAACCTGCGGGGGCTGGGGAAAGAAAGGCGTCTTATTTTTCTTTGGCTTGTTCTATTTTCGCGACGTGCTACAGGTTACGAAATGGTGACAAGCTCAATATATGTCTTCACCACCGAGAGTCACTTGCCCTTAGCCAGACACGCCCCTCACGTATCATGTTTCGTTCTTAAAGTTATTTCAAAGCACAGAACCAAACCTAATCAGCGGCCGAAGGCAGAAAAGGGGATGAGCAAACGGATGTCACAGCATATTTTGCAAGAAACCGGTATCCTTTTGCCTATCGGCTCAGGAACGATTGATTACTACTAGAATAAATACCAGGGTCAGAATTTGAGTGCTACAATGGGAGGGAAGGAAGAAAAGAAAACCGCCGCGGGCACCTGTTAAGTCTTTTATAAACTTTCTCGTCCTGACGGTCTCAAAGAAAGGCGTTGTGGCTGCTATTTAATTTACAGTGTCTGTTGCAGGAGTCGAATTAATCCTACAGCAACTGGAAACGTGGCCACGCCTGCTGAAACTGAGATTGCTTGTAGGATATTCGGCTATAGTTTGGTATATTCACGAGCGCGTTTTGTCCAGTGAACTGAGCGCGTAGTTTTTCTTAACGAAGGGATGGGGTGGGTCAAGTGAATATTTCGGGGAACGTTTGCTCTCATTAGTTGGGGGTATATTTGTTGATATCAGGAGTTCTGGCCTGGATAGAGTCGTTGTAAAGCTATTTTTTTGCTTCGGGGTATCGGTTTCCCGGAAGCTGAGCAAGGAAAATTCAATGGTGCATTTATGGAATAATAATAGAGATTCTCATGGTCTAACAGTGCGAAGATTAGACTTCTGGTAAGGTGGCAACGATCAAGGCCCGCATTATAATTCATGATAATTGAAGGTCATGATGTGGAAAAAGCGACTGAAATGGTGGATGCCATGCAATCCTCTCGGGTGGGGGGCGGGGCACCTGGCCTTAACGGTTGCCCTTCGACAGAAGGCAAGCATGCCCAGATTGTCCACGGGTTGCTAAATGAGACCGTCCCTTTCTTAGTACCCGTTCCCTGTCTTTTTATTAGACCCGGGCAAATTTCTCGAAATTGCACCATCATTTTGGGCTTTTAAGCTTCCAAAGTCCAACAATAATAGCGCATGTTCGCGACGGTTTTTTAAGTCAGTCAAGTTCTTAAACCAGGCCTTAAACGGCCAGTTTTAAGTGTCGATAACAGTTAAAAAGGCATACAAGCCCCATGCAAAAGACAGTGGGAAGGAAGTACACATCGGTGATGGGGAAAAAGGACTAGCCCACAGTTATTTAGGGGTGGATCTTTCGAAACATTCTTATACTCCTGGACAGATATGCATTGTTTAAAGTTTTAGACAAACCAGGTGTAAATTTATAGTAACAAACTGTTAAATATACATCAGCAAGATTTTTGCGAATCTTATTTTTCGCTGGAGACTATCGTTTACTGGCTGGTCACGCAATCAAAGGCAACGTACTTTCCCACGTTTGTTTACTGACCTTTCGCTCGGCAATACACTGCGTTCGACAAAGGATCCAAATTGCGCTGGAAATGTTTTGCTATTCGGCCCACTTGTTATCTTAGGTAAGGCATTGCAAAGCTGATTAACTTACAAAGATACGAGGGAGAATTATTTCTTGATGTTATTCTGATTTCGCAGTCACGGGAAAACAGACCTAGACTCAGGTCCACTCGCAGACGCCATGGTACAATCTACAAGATCTCAAGAACAGAAATTACCCATTGAACGGCCTCTCCTTTGAGGATTGCGTGTATTTCAATAAAACAGGTACATATTAAAAGAATCTTGTTAGTTTCTCCCTTTTAACGAGCTCAAATCGATGCATAAAACTAAGGCGACGTGCACGTGTCAATTGACCCTGGGGTCAATTAGCAGTTGTTTGGGGCAAAATAACTTCAAAATAATCAATCTATTTTACAAGCGTTCGAAGAACACCAGACTAACTTTCAGATAATGTTGAAGTACTATATCTCATTAGTTAGTAAGCGGGATTTGGGGTGATTTGGAGAATTCCCCCATATAGAAAATTCGATTTTGGTTTTAGCGGTAAATTGTTGTATTTATAAGCATTATGCAAATTACGTTTCAAAATTCTGCTGGTTCGTCGATATTTTATACTCTAAATCTAAAAAATAAGCCATTCAGAAATTGTTAGATATCTACTTTTTGAGATTTAAGTGGAAGATTGGCAATATATTCGCTCGTTTATGAAAGTCAGCTCATTTCTGTCGCTAGGCTATTTTGCCGTGTTCGGCGGCTAATTTTAGGCCCGCAGACCGTTGAAATCGAAAATCTCAAATAATTCCCAAACTCGGCCGCATTTTGAAATTTAAACCTCAGCAGTGTTATAAACTCATTAAAACCTTATTACAGACTGAAAATGAGAGTAAGTTAGGTTTTGAGCTGTGGCCACGATTTGCCGATTTTGCTCGATTTTTCTGTGCATTCGCTCTTAAACGACGTGCCAAAACCCAAATCAATGGGATTTTGTTGAACCCGTTAAACTGATTTGTTTAGATCGAAATTTGGGCTATTTGGTTATGCAATTCAGACTCATATAATCGAGAATACTTTAGCCCACCAATTTCTTTTTCAATTCTATTCCCTTGTTTGATGGACGTAAACAATAGGGCCATTTATACGAGGAAAAATAAGACGCGTCTTACATAAGACGCGAATTTTCCATATAAACGGCACATTTCGTCTAAAATAAGACGCGTCTTAGCTAAGACGCGTCTTATTAGATAAGACATGCTCGTATAAATGGTTCAGTTCGCGTCTTATTTAAGACCTGTCTTATGTAAGACGCGTCTTATTTTTCCTCGTATAAATGGCCCTATTATGACTTAAATAACTACAACTGCCCCCTAAACTTTGTTTATTTTGATCCATAATTCCCAAAACATTTTGGCCCCGCCAATCCTGGCCCGACCCGAACAGCTTCACTTGGAATTTGAAGCCTCAAGTCCAAAAAAAAAAAAAAAAAAAAAAAAAAAACCTTGAAGTACCTCGCGAAAATGACAGTCGCATCCTTAAATGACTTATTAAAAATGCTTTACCCTACATTTTGTTTTCCTTTGGAGTTAAGTAAGATGATCTTGTGATTTCTATTTTGGCACTCTTATTAATGGGAGAGTAAATGTTGATACTTACAGACAACTAATGCATTGTCCGCCATTATTGCCAGGAAAAAAGAAGATTCATTAAAAGTTTGCTTTAAGTCGATAATATTTCACTGTAATCAGATGTTGGCACTTCCAACTTTATTGCATTACTTGAGTATTGACTTTTATCGCCTGTTGCAGGTGATTTATTTGCGGAAATTTAATTCATCTCTTGCTCATCAGATGTCCTTGTTTGTACTGTTCGGTAACCTGAATAAATGACTCAACGTAGTTAACGCCTTTATAAGCAAGGGGCTACAGATCATCTCTAGTACAGAATAGGCGAGTCTACGAGAACGATGAAGTCTTTTATTGCCCTTTCACTCTTTGTTGCCTTCGTGGCTTTCGTTCGTGCGGAGGATTTTGCCAACTTTGACGTCGAAGCTAATGAACCAGGTTTTTTTGTGAGTTTTTTTGACATTTTGCCTTAATCTAATTGTTAATTGTCCGAAAAAGTTTGGACAAACCAAAAAGGTTGAGAAGTGCACCTCGAAATATTTCAGTCGTGTATGTTAAAAATTTCTGTTTCCATTTAAAAATATTTTGGTTTTTCATTACTCTAATTAAAATTTTTGGTCGCAAAAAATTGCTTCACTAGGAAAAAACGAAAAAAGAAAAAAAAGGCAGGAAGACATCTGCGACAAACGTGCTGACGGTTTAAATCATTTCTCAACAAGATGAACTAAAATGGCTAAGTAGCAACATACCTACAACAAGGGGGGGATGGGGGGGGGGGCCTTTTTGTTTTGGGATTGGTTAAATTATATCTAAAGTATTGATTTATTTCGTTTACTTATTTATTTTCTAAATGATTTATTTATCTTCAGCAATGTAAAGTTGACCTTTACAACTGCTTCAAGGATGGGAATGAAACCAAGACAGGGTGCCTTTCCAAATACAAAACTTGCATGGCTTCTCTACTCCCCACCATGCCTTATTTTGTGGTAGGTTAATAAGCTACCCATGTAACGTACCGTGAATATTTATTAAAGTAGCTATTTTTTTGTTTAGGTGTCGTAGCCTTGTATTTTTTTTTAAATTTTTATTGAACACAAATTTGTTTCTGGCAGTTTTCGAAACGCCACAGCAACCGCAAAAGCTGGGAAGAAAAAATAACGACATACGAGGATCACCAAGAAACTGAGTTTAGATTTAAAGAAAAGAGAAAGTCACATTTTGATAGCAATATTAAGTAATATACTAGATCTTTTGCATGTGCGAGAATGGCGCTAATGAAAAATGTAAAAATTGCAAACGCCACAAGGGGTTTAATGAGCCATGCCTTAGTATGTCGCTACTCTAGCAAAGTGCTAGATAGGGAAAGATAATGCAAAACTCTAGCAAAGTGCTACATAGGGAAAGATAATGCAAACAGCAAAAGTAACGAATACGATTGAGGCTGTTGGCCTGCTTTGACTATGAATTCATGAAGCACAAAAAAAATTGGAAATAAATTCTTACTAGTACGTCGACAAGACTGACATAATCAAGCTCTTGACATAATTTCTCTATGCAGATCTTTATCAACAAAGACATGGCTAATCCTGACCACTTACTACTGGTAACCACTAGAACAATTCCTTCCACGCCTTTTCTTGTTGTTGTTGCTGTTTTTTTCGTTTTTCGTTTTGGTTTGGTTTTGTTTTCTGTTGTTTGTAGGTTTGTTTGTTTTCACGTCAAACTGTTCGTTGAGGGAGTGTTCACGTTTTTGAGGTTTGCAACCTTTACAATTGAAGGTGTTCAACTTCCCTCTGCAACGCTTGACATTAGAAAATACACCATAAAGCATTTTATTTGCCTTTTTTTTTGTCCTGTTTATTGACGAGACGGCAAAGCCATTACAATCTCCTCGAGTAAGGTTGTTAGCAAGCAATCTCACATCTTATCCTTCCAAGAGAGCTTTAAAGAAATCATGATACGTGGAAGTTGTCTTGAAACTTCAACTTTTCCCATAGCCCGGGAAAACAGCCGACATTTCGAGACGCCACCACTGGTTTCCCCGCGAAATCACGTCAGCACAGAAATTTCATACTGATAACGCATCACTACCGAGATCCGAGTGGTGCTTCTGATTGGTTGAAAATTTGCTTCATCCAATCAGATGAACTACTCAGATCTGGGTAGTGACGCATCATCGGTATAGAGTTCCTGCGTTCGTTTCTCAGACGTAATTATATTCGCGGGAAACCAGTGGTGGCGCCGTGAAATGTCAGCTGTTTTCAGCTCTCAGGCTACTTTTCACACTATGTCAAAATATTATTTAGGTGTTTTCTTGAGTTAAACAATTTCCTGGTATTATTCATCACAGACCCTTTGCAAGATGGACCTGAGCTGGTGCACGACACATTCACAAGATTGGAAAGAGACGGGCACGTGTTATCTTGAATTCTCCAAATGTTTGAAAGACGGAGGACCCACTCCTGTCACTTATGCCCCTGAGCTGGCTGCAGCCAAGATGGACGATCAACCCACCCGAGGACAATTTGCGGTATATTAATAGCATATGTTTATAGTTTAAGGTAACTTGAAGGTTTTTCTTTGGGAGGAGGGGGGGATAAATGCCAGTTTTCTTAACGGTTCAGTACTACAATTCTGATTCGTAATTGCTGTACGTTCTATGCAAAGTGCGTTTTAATTTCGCATGTGGTTATTACTGTACTGGCGTACAAATATGATGAATTGGCGATGAGTCTTGTGCTTTGAAACTGAATAAGATAACATGCGTAATCATTCGTCAGACGATGAGGCGAAGCAATGTTAACGACATTGTCAAGGTAATAATGATACGATATACCGTATAACTTCCTGTCAACAACAACGACAAAAAGCTCAGGCCTTGTGTAAACAGAACGACACCCAGCGGGTCATTCACACTCATCAGTTGCAAACATCGTACCCGAGCATGCGCACTTGGCCGAGAGGGTTTGGTGCACTAAATCCCAGTCGTCAATTCTGAATATTTACTCTCGGCTCAGTGGGTCTAAGTCCTCTCAGTCCACTAGCGTTTGAATACCACCCACTCACACGGCCACGTCTCTATCAAGATCGGCGAAGCGCATTCTTTAAATGTTCAAACAAAATCCCTATCCGATGCTGGGCCGATTTTCTTGCTCACGTGTGAAAGAGGATATGTTTAGGATAGACAATGTAGATCTCACAAATATGGTTTGTGCTTTTTGCCTTCAATATATTCTATTCAGCAATGCCAGATAGACCTGTATGACTGCAACAATAGAGGAGATAAGACTGCCGCAGAGTGTTTGACCGACTACAAGACATGTATGGCCCAGCTGATTCCCCCTTACGTGGTAAGCGGCTTTTTATGCTCTACTATCAGTAAAGTATGTTTATGACTTCGTGCAAAAATACAAGACGTAAAGAAACAAAAAAATAGAAAAGAAGGAAAAAACAGGTAAACAAAGAACAACAACGAAAAACAAAAAACAAAAACAAAAACAAGAAAACACAGAAAAACATACAAAGCGAACAAAATAAAGTTAAAATGGGTGATATAAACCGACAAAGATATATCTAGTGGTTTTAAGCGCCTATGTGGCTTAGATAAAAGAGCTATCAGCATCAGGAGAAAATGCTGTTTGGTAAATAAAGTAAAACAATGCAATTTGCTTTAGAGTATAAAAACAAAACAAAACCAACAACACTAACAAAAAACAACAACAACAACAACAACAAAAATTTTCCAAATCCCGTGGAATCCTTAAAATTATGGGGAAATATACTTACTCATTGCCAAGAATTCAAAGGGAACGCACAATGCAAATTGAGAATTTAATATTTTTCACTATTTGACAGTATTTAACTCCGGTTAAATAAACTCTCTTTGGGACAGTCAGTTAAACAAAGCCCATAACCTCCGGAGTTAAAGAAGCAATCACTGGGCTACAAAATCTGTTCAGTTGTGAGGTTGTGTTTTAGTTTAAGTAGTACTTTTTAAAACTTTAGGTTATGGCTGAAAACCTGGCTAAAGCAAAATAGATTTATTTTGGATGCAAGGTTTGGCCAAATTTCAAACAGCTTTAAGGGCAGGGCCTGTGTCATTTATTGGCGCCGCTATACGTTTATTATTGTTGGGCCAGTTTTTCGAATTTAAAAAAATCTGTTGTGTCCTTTTCTTTTTTTTTCTTTTTTTCTCGTAGGAAACATGCAATCAGGAATTTAAAGAGTGTGAAAATAACGCCTCTGGGTTCCTTGAGAAAGCTAAGTGCGCTACTGACTTTGCTGTTTGTCTAAAGAATGGAGGCCCAACCACTGCTCCAGCTCTTTGAGACATGTTGTGCGTCTTGAGTTTACCGTACTGTCTTCCACACTGTAATATGAGTACGAAATAAAGCACAGAATCAATAAAGATTGTTTTTCTTTTCTTTCTTCAGATTTAAATGCATTTTTGGTTTACCCCTAATCCTTCTTAAGAATCTTAAAATTAAGTGTCGTCGAATACTTTGTGCATTTCTTCATCCTTTTGTACAAACGGGAAGCTGACCAGTGCTAAAACGCGAAATACTGTCCCACCAATAGAGTAGAAGGTCATTTGCGATATCGGGTCTTCCACTCTCTTACTTTTTAGCACGCACCGAAGTGCTTTCATGTAATTCCAGTAACAACTTGAAGTGTCTTTCACGACGTATACGCATGGAGGTGTTTGAGGGGTTAACCCAAAGCGTCGAGCCGGTTTGATGTAGCTTCTCAAATAATTATTTTGCAACACTTCTTTCGTCTGATTGCCTTTTTCGGGAGTGATTGCTTTGATTGTTTTCTCTTTATGAATTATTAAATTGAAGAGTTTGAGGACGTAAATTAAAACACTTATATTCAAGTTTACTCTGTTGCTTTATTTGCGATCTAAAAGTCTTGCAAGCTAATTATACATGGGTATATAAAACCTTCAATCTTTTCCTGTACCAAAATTACCTTCCAAAATGATAACACACAACCTGTTTCTTGTAACTGGCTGCATTATACCTATTGTCAGAAAATGTAGCAACGCTCACTTAAAATAATAAATTTATAATTCATTTGCAAAATATAGGGGAGTTATGATTGTTCCGGGCTAAAATATAATCGCTTCCAATTTTCCTTTTAAGATTTTATCGTGATCGTGAAATGGGAAAGCCGACCGATACATTCTATTTTTTCCCTTCTATTCATTTTATTTTAACGCCTTAATATCTTCATTTAAGATTAGATGTTTTAAACCAAAAATTTCAAGAGTCTAAAAATTGGCAGATTGAAAGCAGTTCGCCGCTCTAATTTCTGCATCAACGGGGTTAGAAAAAGCTTGCCCGAAACAAGACTACATTTGGCTTTTCTAAACATTCCATTGGTTCACAAACTTTGGCTGAGGGCGAGAAAAAAAAAGGAAAAAAAACAAAACAAAACAAAATCAAATCAAAAAGTGCAAGCGGAACCAATTCATCTCGCTACAAAAACACTTCGTGCTTTTCTAGTTTTTAGTTGATTTTACGTATTTGTTTTCACTATTTAAGATTGAGCTTGAATGCAAGGCGCAAATAAGACTCACTCACTTACTTAATTGTGGCCTCTTGCCTAACACGGGACTGTGCCCCCATATGTCTTTGTATGCCTTATTCTTACATAAAATAGGGGTTCAAAAAAATTAGATTTGAAGCTTTTTAAAATAGGTTTTGACGCTGTCGTCGTCGTTACTGTCGCTGTTGTTGTTTTTGGACCATTAGACCACTGTATACGACCTTTGAACTTGTGCCTTATGCAGTGGGTTTAAACTTCCGCTTGAAGATCCTAATCAGACAGCAGTCATTGCCTTCCTCTGGGTACCCCTTATCGTCGTAACTCTCAAGGGAGGCTGTTGCACTCTGCCAGTGATCATTAAACTCTTGTAGTTCTTCCTTAACTGATTTCTTCGATGGCCCGTCGATTACTTCAAGAACGTCTTTTCCAAGCCGATTAACTCGATCCACCTTGACCTTCATACTCGGCCTTTCTTCCAATTTAATCTGTAATGTAAAATATGTGCTTTTATATATCGAAAAAATTTTTAAAAGATTCCAATTTAGCCTGAAATCCCTCTTTTCCCAGATTTTGATCACGCATTAATAATTTTTTATATATTATTAATAAGCACAGGAGTTCAGGCTTCAGGAGTAATCATTGATCGTTTATTGCGACAGTGCTGTTTCGTATGGTCCGAAATTGTAGGACCACACTCATCAGGCAACTTCAACGATTGACCGTTAAAATTACAAGCTGGCAGTAAAATTTAGCTGGTTGTTATAGGGACGCATCCCTATAACAACCACCCAAATTTTACTGCCAGCTTTTAATTTTAACGGTCAATCGTTGAAGTTGCCTGATGAGTGTGGTGTGCTCCTACAATTTCGGACCATACGAAGCAGCACTGTCGCAATAAACGATCAATGATTACTCCTGAAGCCTGAACTCCTGTGATTATTAATAGTCACTGCTCTTCAATTAAATGAATTGAGCGCTCTACGAAATACGTTCTACCCACAACAGAAGTAATTTTTTTTATTTAGCTATTTATTTATTTATGCTGTAAAGGGTTTGAGCCCAGGAGTCATTTGAAAGTAGGTTGAGTTTGATCGTCCTGGTGAACGTAATCCTGTATAGGACTGTTGTTATTGACAGTGACTGACGTTTCGACAACCTGTGCGGTAGTCATCTTCAGAGTCAAAGTGAGTTGTATCACGTCAGTAAATGACTCTGAAGATGACTATCACACAGGAAGTCGAAACGTCAGTCACTGTCAACAACAACAGTCCTATTCAGGACTACGTTCACCCGGACGATCAAACTCAACCTAATTTTATTTATTTATGGAGAAACAGTTGGCACTGATTATAAAGAGCTAGTTTGAACACAGTCGTATAAAAAGAAATAAACAGATAAAAGTCGTAGAATGAAAATCGATATGAAAAAAATAACACACTAAAAGAGAAACGCCAAGTCTAGCCCTTGGGATATATGAATTTCAACAAGTTATTTTTAGACCAATTGAACGCTTGCAATTAAAGAGGTCGGCAAACCTTTATTCATTTTTTCAAGAGAAAATGACAAAACATTGTACATTGTGCTCTCTTGCTGTGTCGCCATTAAAATATCATGTTCTTTTCCCTTTGAGGCAGTCGTGCGTGGACTTAATTATCACGTTTCAAACAATCAATTAAAATGTGCGGACATCACAGGAATTAGACTTCCGTTTAATAACAACCTCTAAAAATAACTTAAGTGAAATTCACGTGTCGCGGCCAACACCTTCAGATTTCCCCTTTGTCTTATTATTTTCTCTTGGGGAACGTATTGAAGTAAGATTACTGACTTGTACTTGAATGGAAAATATTCGTTTATTTTATTTTTTTTTTCACGAGCGAGTCTCATGTTATTAGTTATTTATTTTTTTCCAGGAGGTCTTTTGCGATTACATGTTTATCACATACCATGTATGTTTTCTTTTTCTTTTTTGGTTTTTCGCGATAATAAAAAAATCAGTAAATTTACCTACCTCTGCTCTTTTCTTGAAGTTCTCTAGATCCTCGGTCTCCATATCCTCCTTGTATTCTGCCATTAAACCTAAGCAGTCATCCACCCATTCATTTACTGAAGTCATCAGCTTGTGCATCTCTTTTAGCTTACTGTCTGCGTTCATTATCTGTGTGAAGTAGAATAACAAGCATCCATCTCCAGTGATCGTACGGAACATATAAGAGAATAATTTCTACATTCGCAGATGGAAAGTAAGAAATAGTTAATATCCGTATTACCTTTCTTGCCAAATTTAACTTCCGACTAATGAGATAAAAAGGTGAATCACTTATGGTGGTTTTCAAGGACTATCATGATACTACATTTGTATATTCAGTTTAGAGTACATCTTTTTTTCAAAGTATCCTTTCGTTGAAGTCTCTGGGAGGGACATTTAAAGGAAAATTATGTGGGTAATCTGCAATGATGACCACTCTACCATGCATTTTATGATTATGTATTTTTTCTATCCGGTATATATATTTTAGTTTTGAAAGCTTTTAGTTTTAGAAACGGACTCAGTTTACGCACACTGATGTGCCTCTCTGAAATTTTCAAACAAGTTATTCGGTTGTGTCGCCGCTGTCTATAATAGCAGTTCATGGGTAACACCGCACCAAGATGTTTCTCACCTTCTCTTTTTCTTCAAGAGTTCTCTTCGCCACGTGGTTCCAGCAATCGTCGAAATCCTGCAACTGAGCTTTGATTTCCTTGGTTACGTCATCACTGTTATCTGCACCATCCATTATGTCCTTGCCAATTCGGTGAAGCCTCTGTAATCTCTGCTCTTGCTCGTCGAGTTCGTTTTGAGTGTTCTGTTGACAGAATGTTAAGTAGAAAAGCTTGTAAACGAGGAAGAGCGTTTTATTAAATTTTAAAACACGACTCGCAACCCTAAGGTTAAAAAAACACGAATTGGAAGATTTTTTCAAAGCCTTAAAATATTTCCCCTAGATCTCTTCATTTTTCCAATAATTGTTGGATATTTGCTAACTTTCCTGAGGAAAAAAACCTTTGATATATTAGAAGAGATTAAAAAGGCATATAAATACACACATTTTCAGGGAAAAAAGAACGATCATTTCCTGAATGATTGTTTTGCTCTACACCTCCCTTAGCCTAACACGCTTTAGGGGTTCGTCACGTGGGCCAGGAACGCGTGACGAACCTAAGAACGTCTGCGTGGGAGGCTAGACTTCCCTCCCAACCGGGTATCGTTCCCTCTTGAGCTCTCTTAACACAAAGCAAACACGTTTATAAACAATGAATTACGAACGCGGTTAAATCTAATTTACCTCCAGAATGTTTAAGCTTTGCTTCACTTGTTCCTCGTCGGCAATGTTAGTTTCTGAGACTTCCTTGAAAGTTTTTTCTTTGTGACTTAGCCAATTCAGCAAAATTAACTCCTCGTCACGAAATTTCTGCCATTCAATCATCGCCTTTGTAAGATTTTGGTTTCGGTCATTACTCCAGTTCCACGCCTCTGGCCAGCGTTTGTTAATGTCTTTGACTTTTCCTCGAGTTTTGTCATCCAGTTCAGGATCCGAGCTATCGGTAGCGAGTACAGCGGTTACCAGGGAAACATCGCCAACTTCCCCTTGAATTTTCTACAAATCAAAGTCATACAACTTCTTTTCAGGTGGAATATGGAATATTTAAGTGTATTTAAAAAGCCCTACTAAAAAGTTTCTAACGCATGAACTCTGAAAAGAATTTTAAAATTTCATAATAACTTTTTGTGAATTTCCCAGTTTCTTAATCAGAACAATTGAATTCCTATTGTATCTTAACAAAAGCAAATGCTTCGAATTTTTAAAAATATGCATCCGAAACCTCAATTCATTATGATAATTAGGTAAGGCATGGAACCCCATATTAATTGAATTCAGCTGTACTTCCATTGAGATCAATATAATTAAAATTATACTGCTGCTACTACTACTACTATTATTATTAATATTTTCATAATATTGATAATAATAATAATAATAATAACAATAATAATAATAATAATGACAATAATAGTAACAGTAATAACCAGGATAATCCTGCTCGTCAGTGTGAATCGTCCCTGATCAAGGATCCCTTGATATAAGCTAATTAAGGTACCTGTCACTGGTTGCTACAAAACTTTATTATTCCGGCTGGCTTTTATAGTTTGCCATTAATTACCTGGTGTTCATCTAACTGTTTCTTTGTAGTTTCGTAGTTATGACCGATTTGTTCATCTTTCTTCATCTTCCGCTCAGTTTTGGTCAGCCATTTATCCATTATAGACAGTTGCTGCTTCAATAGAATGGTCCTCTCCTGTGAAAGCCTTATGAAGAGAAAAACAAGAATGAACATAACGTGAGTGTAACAGTTTTCCGCTTTTGACATTTGCGCAGCGAAGCAACAAAGTTTAAGACATAGGGATTCTGTATAAAAGCACACCGGCTATTTTGAAAGACTGGTTGGAATCCCCCTTGTCTTGATATTGATTCGATACATAGTATCTTTCAGGAACTGACAAAACGATGAAGTTCAAGATTTCAGAAACTAAATGTACCGTAATCTATTCAAGAGACGCGAATGCCACAAGTAATAACTATTCCCATAGGTGAACGAAGTTTTAGAATATTTAACTGAATATGCTGTGCGAAGCACTCAAAAAGACAACTAACTATTGTCATACGGAGCATTATTCTTTTAAATGCCTTAACGCTCCACGGAGCATGAATTATCAAATGAATTACAAATTAGTGCTATAGCCCGCAGGAAATTGTGGTCTGATTTGATTCAACATTTTTTCATCATCTTTCAAATTAAAAATGTACGTCAGCTGAACAGATCGCCCAACAGTCATCGTTCTTTGACGATGAATTTAGTATAGGGCCTATAATTAAGGATGGTTCAGTAATGAAATATATTGAACATCACTCCAACATTTCCTTTGTTTCCAAAAATGCAAGTGTCGGGTCGAGTTGAAGCTGTATAAAAACAGTTCTAAATAGATGCTAGTGACCTAGTTCAAATTATTTCTTGAGGTGCTGGCTGAAATGTTGGGTGAATGCCACCAAAAAAAGGGTAATGGTTTCAACCTTAGCTGCATACATCTTTTGCCAGGACATCCGTCTGTCCTCGCTTCTCACAGCTTAGATAGAAAGACGGCTGTTTTCGTAGGCTGCCCTTCAACTAATTAAAATACTTTAACAGGCCTTAACAGGCCTGAGATCAGTCATTAGTCTTGTCTGGTGCTCAATGAGAACTTAGCCATAAAAACTTTTGTTCTTAGGCCATCTCAGCTTAATTAAAAATAAAACAAAAACCGAGCGGTGATAAACATTGTGAACTTTCGCATGCGTATAGTCAATATATATTTTCAAAAGTGATCAAAAACGACCGTTACGATTGATGACAAAAACTATTTATGAAATTTGAACAAGGGGTCTGGAGACGAGATTAAGAAAATTCCTCAACAGCAAAATTATTTAAGGCGACGGCTAATTAATAAAGCATCAGCTTTTCACTGCTGATGTTGGCATTAAAAGCTAGCTTAAGATCTAAGTTTATCAACGCTGTTTGTGTTTTATATTTGATTCAGCTGCGAAAGCTATCTGATAAATATATCATGCTCACTTATTATGATCTCTTTGAGACTGTTCCAAGAGGTTTTGCATCCTTTTGTCGACGTTGTCCATCCTATCCTGAAAGTGTTCCTCTTCACCTTTGTCAAAATACCCATCACCAATCATGGATCTGCCTTCATTTAGTACTTCATAAGTTTTAGATTTCAACGGAACGAGATCCTTTTCATATTTCTGTCCAAAAAAAAAAAAACTTCAATGACTACGACTGATAAATAACCCCCCATTCAAAACCTACAGAGGTTGTTAGGAATGTCTTGTATTAAAACCTGGACGGTAACATAGACCTTTAAACCAACTGTTATTGCGTGCTTTCTATACACTATCACTGTTAATTGTTTCATTTTTCCACATAATAAAGGAAATGCATGAAGATTAAGCAATACTTTGTTATTTACAAGTCTTACATAAGGCCGTAATGACAGAAACATCGAGAAATTTAGTAAGCGCAAGTAAACACGGTAACCATAATTTTGTTCTTTTTCAGTTGCTTTTTCCAGAGCGGAAAGTAAGTTGAACACAATACAATTCACTAGTTTGCATATCATGTATTATGACTTTTAAAAGTAAACGTAGCAAAAGGAAGTGCAAATCAGCTGACTTCTACAGAATAACGGTTGTTTGATTCTAAATGTCTAGTGTGATGAACAGTTTTCAAAAAATTATTTCAGAGCAGTAAGTTTAACAGCCTCCTTTCAAGTGTTAAACCCGCCTAACGTAAAGTAAGAATCCATTATAAAGTACGATTTTTATCAAGTTTAAGTAAGCGTAATTCACCCAAGAAGCATGTATACAAGTCAAAATATCCTTTTATATTCATTTCCGTTCCATCCGAGACTGACGATGGTTTAATGGATTTTTTAAAACCGATGGCTAATACACGTGGGTCGATCAAATATCCAACCTTTTGTTTATCTAGTTGAGCCATCACTGTCGTTAAATCCACAACATCATTTTCATCGTAGACTGGTTTTCTATGCTCGGCATCAGAAAGACCACTTTCCACTTCGTTTAACATCTTGTTGAGTTTATCAACTGCTTCATCGTGCTCTGATTGGCTATAGAGATGGTAAAACACGAAAAAAATAAACAAAAACAACAACAAACAATAAGTCAAAAGAGCAGGACGACATTAACCAGCAGCGGATTTATGAAGCTTCGAGCATACTTTGAGCTTAACAATATCAGTGAACTTTGCACTTTACGTTTGAAATAGATAAGTTATTTGAAAATCCCTGCAATGCTTTTTTAGAAGATCAGTTTAATCTTTCACTTAGTTGCTTGTAGCTACAGACCTGAAGGCTGGTTTAGCATCTAGGTGGTCAAAGCTGTCATTAAGAGCTCCTTCTACGGCGTCCACATTGTCGTCAATGGTTACCACTTCTTCCACAGCCTGCAAAGGATAATGTTAAAAAGGGGCTGATTTTCTTTTTAAGATTATAAAGTATCATAAACGTCATTATATATATAAAAAAAAATGATAATAATAAAAATTAAAAGTAATATTACTTCCTAACATTGCTAATAAGTAATGTTACTTATTTAAAGTAATAAAACTTCTAACCAAGGAAACATTACACTTGGATATTCTCACTCAACACCAACAATTTGTTGAAAGTTACTCAGAGCTTTCAGCATCCTCGGAGACCCAGGGGCAGTCAGTCGGGTCGGGAGAAAAGGCGAGACGAAAGTTTGAAAGTACGGGCAAAAGACCCCCTGGGCACCGACTCTCACCGAACTATTTCCAAAAATTCAAGCGGATGCCGCCTCCTGATTGGGCACAAAAAATGCTTTGTATTATTGTGCCCAATCTGCGAACAGTTTCTCCTGAGTTCTTTTCGTGAGTTCGTACACGACGGCTATTGTCTCGCCACACTTGCCCGGTTCGTTCACCAAGCTTGTGCATGCAAGGAAAACTTTTATTTTTTACTTTCCTAACCAGAAACGAAGGAACGTTTGGGATGCTATCAGCAGGAGCAATTTAATTTGCCCCGAGAATATTCTGCTTTTGACGGATCACAATGTATCGTAAATAATAGGAACTTTAAGATGCAGTAGCGACGAGAAAGTCAAATTAGCAATAGCTTCACAAGGCAAAACAACAACTTTGCACGTGCATCACGCTTTTTTGTACATTTCTTTGCCGTCAACTGCACGACTACCCGTGAACATGCCTAATTTCACGTTTTGTGAAGGACGTAAACAAGCAATGACAAAATTCATTCTCTTCATGAACTTGGACATTGTTAATAGAAATTCAGCTCCAGAAGAGTCAGCGCTTGCATTTGACAAAGTAAGCGAGTTGGAATAATCACGATAGAGACTGAGAAAATGTGAATTCACTTTTCCATGCGACGTTTTCGTGGCTGTCAGCCGTCGTGGTATCTTTTAAAAACTCCCTAGTATTTAAGCAAGACGCGTCACCGATGCAAGCGTGAATACCTATTGTAAGCTCAACCTTGTACTTTTGGAAAAGCGTCTTTAGTTTTCGGGCAGACAATATTTTGAAATCAGATGGGGATTTTATATCAAACTGATAGTTTCCTGACTGCGTGCATTTCTTCGGTGCATGAGCCAGACAAGCCGTGATCGAGACAATAGCCGTCGTGTACGAACTCACGAAAAGAACTCAGGAGGAACTGTTCGCCGATTGGGCGCAATATCACAAAGCATTTTTTGTTCCCAATCAGGAGCCGGCATCTGCTTGAATTTTTAGAAATAGTTCGGTGAGAGTCGGTTCCCAGGGGCTCTTTCGCCCGTACTTGAAAACGTTCGTCCTGCCTTTTCTCCCAACCCGACTGACTGCCCCTGGGTCTCCGAGGATGAGCTTTCAGAGCAACCATGATCAGGGCTACCGCGCCTTCCCCCAATTATTCGCTATTTGCACATCTTCCATAACGCACCTTGTTTGCCTCCTAAAATTTTGCATAACCTTTGTTTTTCATTTCTCCTGGGTATTGAAGCCATGCCAAAAGAAATAAAAAAACAATGCTTATGCAAAATTTGGTGGGACAAACAAGGTGTATTTTGGGAGATGTGCATGCAAGTGGCGAGTGGATCAATTTTGCAACCTAATCAAAACGAGGCTGCGAATTCAATAAAAGCAAACGCCATCACTGATGAAGGGGTCCGGATGGATTCCGAAAGCTCTGAGTAACTTTTAACAAATTGTTAGTGTTGAAGTATATATAAATATTTTTCTCAGTAAAGTTTGAGTTTTAAGCTCTAAATATCAGATTGCATTGAATGCATCATATATTAATCAGGACCTGTTGCTAAAAGCGCCAATCCCATATGAGGGAAGTGAAATCTTTTACCATTATCTAAGATTCAATTACGATGAGGTACACACCTCTCTCTCTTTTGCTTTTGATCCTTCTAAGTAATTGTACAATTCCGTTAAGTACATAATGATGAGCTTCTTGTCAGGTTTGTCGACATCAATATCTAACAAAACGGTACATCAGTCATTATCATACATATTGTATTAAAGGATTGGTTTTCGGGTAGGCCGGGAGGTATGAATAGCCATCTTAATTATAGCATTGTAGTTTCAAACCTATATTTTTCGTACTTTAACAATTAAATAACTGATTAAACTAAATCGACCATATGTATTGGCATGTTTTGACCCTAAACCGAGCGGCATCCTCGGCGACATAATTACGCCCAGTAGACACTTTTATCAATTAAGTACTTGTATAAAGGTAATGATTTTGGGAATTATGACAATCCAGATAACTCGCACGTTCAGCTTCCTTTGCAGTTGACTTTGCCTTGTTTTTGTTGCCTAGAGATTGTTGCCTAGAGAGAACCAGTCCTGCTACAGCCGCATTGTGTAAGAGATCGAAAGAGAGAACTATTTCTTTCTCAAAACTGTCGCGGGACAAAGTGTCTCGAATTAAATTCTTAACTTGATTTTAAATGACCACGTACACTTCAATCGCAACTCATCGTATGTCCTGTGTGTTCGCCACCACGGCCCCTTTCCTTTTTACAGACTGGTCTCACTGAAAACATTGGACAATGCAATGCAACCTCTCTAGGGGTATGCTGTAAACTATACACTTTACACTTTTGTGTTTTTATTCTTAAAATAGGTTTTGCAATATTGTATGAACTTGTATGGTCATGCAAATAAAGCTACAGTCTCAGTGGAAACTGTTGGGAAACTTGAATGTCTTTCTTCTCTCTCAATGTTGGAGTAAACGAGTTGCTACGTTAACTACGATAAACATCACTGAGAGAGGAGACGGAATTGATAAGGGAAGGGTGGAAGTGTCCCAACAATTTTTGTCGAAGACTAGCGCTGTAGTTGACATTCATACCTGCCGAATCCAGGTAGCGAGGGACTCCAAAGTTTTTTTCTGCCATCTTGAAAGAGTTTTCCAGCCTCGTTCGAGTTTGGGCTTTCACTATAACATCAAAATTGAACAAGTCTGGCCTAGAAAGCAAATTCAAAATTTCAGGGAAAATAAGAAGATTGCACTCATCATTTTATATATATATATATATATATTAAAACTTGATGGAGTCACGTCAAGTCAAGTTTTATTTAAACATAAGGCCTGTTTACATGGAGTGGGGGACCCCGGTCTAGTGGGGTTGGTTTCTTTTGTTTTCACGCTCGGGTGGACACAAAACAAAAGAAACCTACCCAACTGGACCGGGGTCTCCCACTCCTTGTAAACATGGTCTTACACAGAATATTATTTATATACAAATCAGTGATTTTAAATATAAAAATAAAAGATTATGAAGTAAAATTAATTTTTCAATTTTAGGTTCCTTGTAAAGAGTTTGGGACCCCTAAATAGTTCGAAGAACTAACTGAGTAGTAAACAATTTGAAATATATTCTCATTATTTCGATCAACAGTTTATAAAAATGCGAGCATTATGGCATTAAAAGAGCAACGTTTTACGAACTTCTAAACTGAGTAAATGATTGAAAGAGAAAAACAAACAAGCAAACAGAAAGCTATTTTATACCTGTATGAGTGAATAAGAGCGTTAAACGCCAAACCATCTCTCCAGCTTGTAGAGAAATCTTTGATTGAAACGTGATCTTCGTACCTGGAGGGGATAAACAAGCTGGTTATGACAAACGACAAACGTAATGACAAACAAAGAAAAGCTTTTGATAACCGACTAAATTATACTCACCCTTTCAAACGTTCCTTGCACCAGTCAAGGAGTTTCTTCTCAACGTTGAAAGATTTTGCTGTGTCCTCTGTTATTGGTTCTTGCATGACTTCTTGAACCTTAACATGAAAAAAACAATGTATTAAGGGTCTTTTAAATATTTGTTTTCTAATACGCCAGACCGATCGGTTCCAGGCCAACTGGTAAAAAAAAGGGAAAAAAGGAATAGCATTGCCGGGTTAAACAGATCAGACCAACCATTAACGCCATTGAATTGAAAACTAAAAATGTTATCACTTTCCAGCAAACCGTTATGGAAACAACAGACTCTGAAAACAAACCCGTTGGCGCAAGTTCGGTTAGACCCGTCTAAGCTCAGAAATCAACTTTGTTCTTTTTTTTTTATCATTCTAACAGCTCTTCTCGTTTTAACTTAACACCAAAAGATAAAAAATGTATAAAAATTTATAGTGATGAACGTAAGCAAACGCGTTCAGCCTTTCTCAGATGGATAACAGTGTCACGTGATCAAAGATGTTACAATTACGGCATATGTCGGTACAGAACAAAAGGCTTGGGATATCTTACTGATAGGAGCTATTAGCTAAGCACTAAGTGAAGACATGTGATGTTAAACTATATCATTTATTGCTTGTCACATGACGCGTTTGTCATTTATCACTTGAGAAATGTACAACTGAAAAAAAGGCCGTTTTAAATATTCCAAACGAATTTTTCATTTAGTGGCCATTACACTTACCTGATATCGAAGAATGATACTCCACATGAGTCCAAGGATTGCACGGGGCTTTCCATCGACTATGTCAAACCCGTTAATGCCCACCAGTTTTACCTAAAACATAGTTAAATGTCCAAAAATATATATTGTTACGGTTGACCCTGTTTTAATAGCCCTTTTACAGAATTGCAAACAAACCATTAGAAATTAGGGACAAATGGCTTGACCCTGTGTTTAATATGGAGATAAGGAAACCAAATTTTTATGAGCTCAGTTTCGGTGCACGACTCGAAACATGTTAAGCTGTGTAACCTTCGATCTGGGTTAAAAATAGCTAATTAGGAGTTGACCTTTTATCTCTCGTTTACGCTCCATTTTCTCACGTATGGTAATATGCCCGTCCATCCTCGTTTTCGAGTAAAACTTCTTTTGAAATGCTAATCGGACGACGTTTTCGTATTTGAATTTCAAAAGAAATTTCACTCGAAAACGAGGTTGGACGGGCATATTACCATACGTGAGAAGAGCGTATGCCTTGTTTTGATACAACCCTTCTTGCTTTATTATGCAAAACTTGTTGTTGTTATGCTAACTAGTATTTTTTAAGCAAAATTTCCATTAGAAAAGGAAGGACGTTTATATAGGACACCAAGCCCACAACTGTAAAATGGCCTATTCAAATTGTTTAATTTATTCGTAAACCAATGATTGAGGCTTACGTTATTTTTCTCAAGCAGACCCATGGCTTTTTCGACGTTGTTCAGCTTATGCACTCTCATGGTTCCTTTTTCTTTTTTCTAAAAAAATAATGAAAAATAAATCAAAAATAAATAAAACAAATCAAGATGAATACTATTCCTAGGTTCTTCGTACCATGAAGTATGCGTTACATAGTTACATAAGACCTAGAAAATAAAATAAAAAGCACAATGTAACTATAAAATCATGGAATGGACTCAATTACGATTTGAAGGTATTATTTAAAAATGAAGGTAATGGTTAATAAAAAAAAAGAAAAATAGTTGGATGGTTGTCAGATCAGAAACAAAATTGCCAGATTTAAGCTAGGGAATGGAATTTATGAATCATCCGTTTGTGTCCACTGAGCAACAATGAAGCCTAAAAAGTATAGTATATGTAGCTTAATAATGATTATATGTACCAGATTTAATAAGAATATTAATAAAAAACTTTTACCAGGGAAGTATTAAGGAGGACCTCCAACAAGTTTAACAACATTTTTCCGTCCATCAGATCCACTACGACGTCACTGATTTCTACCGGTGGAACTCGCTGTTGAAGACAAAAACAAGTATTGAATTATACCTCCAATAGGCCTGGAAAACTCACAGAGCAAGCTCCTGATTACGAGGTCCAAAAAAAGTGGTAAAAGTGAGAAGGTAACTACATAGGGATGAGAAAACATTAGCGTCAAGCCTAGAGGTCATAGTGTTGTTTAAATCAGGCAATACCAGCGATTCTAGGGGTTACTAGCCTGCGTAGCAAGCGTTTCCGTTTGGTTTCGGAGCAAAGAAAGACCGAGGAACGGGATTCCCGGTTTTGGCAGCGCAATCTTTGACTCTCGTTCCTCGTTTTTTGCTCCTAAACCGTACGGAAACGCTTGCTACGCAGGCTAAGGGTTATTCGGTGGCGAACTAAAAGCGATTCTGTGCAAAACCGCGGTTCATATACTGGGTTACATGTTATACGTGTTACGAGCTTCAAAAAGAAGGATTGATTATTTGGTTTGGATCAATAGTTAATAACACACCCAGGAATATACCTTTGCCAGCCTGGAATTCATCCACTTTGTGAATGTTTTTCTGTGAAGGTTTTCTCTCTCACCTGCATAAGAAATCAAACAGTTAACTGGAGAGGACTACAGCTAACTACTTATACTAGTTTTATCAGGGATTAGCAAGTGCGTTCGAATATTTAGTTTTGGAATTGCAGTTGTATAATTAGATAAATGTCGCCAAAGAGAAGTGGAAATGTTTGTAAGATTCAGTGAACTATTTGAACGCGTTAAATCAGGGAAACGGGCCCAATATGATGGCCACTTTGAGGCGGTAAGCCGCAATACGGATCAGGATTGTCTCGATGTTATACCACTTTCTTCTGACGTCTCCCCGCTAATTTTATTATAATAAGTTTCGGCCCAGCCTAACTGACGGCAAAAATGGCACTAAGGCTGCGTGCTTGGATTCAGATCGAGTTCGACCAGTTGTAGCAGTTCGTTCTTTTTGCTTAGCCTCTCTGCTCCTACAGTGTTCCCTGTCCCAGTTATCCGTTCATCAGAGTTTCATTAAATTTCCTTAGCCTAACTGGTGGCCTAACTGGCACTAAGCCTGTGTGCTTAAGCTGTGCTTAATTGGGGGATTCAGGTCAAGATCGACCATTTGTAGCACGAGTTCTTTCTTTTTGTCAAAACTACTTTACGAGTGTTGTACGTTAGGTATTCACCAGTATTCATCTATCATTGTAGCTGATTTAATGAAATACAAGAATCCTCTTTTTAATAAGCAAAAAAGTATGATTACTTTTATTCCCCTAAAGAACTGAACACCTCACAGGGTTCTTGCCGTTTTTTTTTTGTTTTTGGAAACGTTGCGGGATCGTCTGGCGATTACTTGTCTTATTTCTGCAAACCAACAGTATGTCTAGCTAACTTGTGTTGTCGTTTTCACTGGCTGTGACCCTTATTAAATGTACTCTAGGGACAAGAAGTCTGAAGTCTCTTACGTATTTCTGTTTCCTTTTTTTTTTTTACCGAGCTACCACAAAATAATGTATAAGTTCGGGCTTCTAGCCCCGTGAGTTTAAGTTGTGTTCTCCTGACGTCGAAAAAGCAATCAATTATTATCTATCGGAGTCCGATTTGCTTCGGATGGTGGGTAAGGGAAATGTGAGAGATAGATATGAGCACAAGCAAAAAGGCTCATGTTCGACTCAGCATTGAAAATTCGTACTATTGGTTCTTCTTTCTTCTTTTTCCTTTCCACTTTTCCAAATCCTTAAAAAATAGCATCGACTTGTTTACAAAAGAAACGTTGCGTAGCTGGCGCCTGCCAATACACTCTTCCTACTCTACTAATCAGAACGTTAGAAATCGCATAATGATCATCCGGTATGATAAACGAGTTTAATTAATATGTAATATGATCAGTTGAACATAAGAAGGCCAATATCATAGAGTTTGTTGTTATGAAATGATTGTTAGAGATATTGCAAGTACATTTTAGAAAAATGGTTCTGTATGAAAATAGTTCTGACCTGATTTTCTTTGAACTGAAAATTTCCTAAGGTTTCACAGCAGATTGGTTTTATTTCTATTTGCAATATTGACTTGTTCCATTTGCTGTACCTAGTTCTTTTCTTACATATTCTCACTCAGAAAAATCATATATGACTATAATAATCATTAGTTTTTTAGCAATATCTTGTCTTAGTTTAAAATTCTTCGAATGTTTTATTGACATAAGATCGATTGAGTAACAAAGGGACTCAAGTGGTTTTCAAGTCTTCATTCTATTTACACAATCTAAAAATGTAAGTTTGTGTTGAATGCAAAACAAGTAACATCGCTCCCTTTATCGATATACAGAAAAAATTCTTCTAAAAGAAGCAAATTCGACTTGCGTACACAAAAATAAGCGGCGATATTGGTAAGGAATACGATGTAAATTTGAACATTTCGCTGTTTAAGTCTATTCTCGATTCTCTTTTATAAACTATTCTCTAGCCAGTTGTATTTATTCGAAAGAGTAAGTTTACCTTACATTCTTTAGCCAATCAGTCCCAAGCATTGACTATGTTCGTACACCTGATTAAACACTTTCTTCAGTTAAGTTTAAGGACAATCAAAGCCTCTATCTTCCAACGCAAAGTAGTCAACAATTCTCGTTACTCTTAATCTCTAACAGAAATTTTCATGCATTTCGAGCTGTGAATAGTTCAAGGACGTAAGTACCGCGAACCTAACGTTCAACTTAGGTCCATTCATTGTACACTTCGCGACATTGTTCTTTATTGTGTTCAGTGTAACTTTCAGTGATCTTTGATCGACATGGGTTAAAATTGCAGTTAAATAGTTAAGCAACATTAAAGATGTATGGCTGTACAGGTCATGGGCTTCACAAAAAGGCAACCTTTGGAAGTTTGCAGGAGACCGTACGTTAAAAGTTGAAGAGTTTGTCATAGCGCAGTTCACTTCGCTTCTTGAGCTATGGTATCTGTAGCATTTCCATTTTTTTGCTGCGTTATGTCGATAAAGCGATGGCAATGTTTTACTTCAGTTAAATGATATCCCACATTTCTTTTATATACATTGTTAAGACCTGGAGACTATGTTGTTTACATCTTGAAAACCGGGATTAAATTCTCGTGTAACGAGGGATTAAAATGCCCCGCTGGCTTCACTCAGTTTGTGGTCAAGACACATTGTTTGTAAGATTTCACGTTAAGGCGTTATATGCTGTCCCAAACAAGGGTAATTTCCAATAGAATCCGAGGGATGATTTAATCAAATACTTTCACCAACGGAGTGCTAATTAATAATAAAGCTGAATAGCATTTAACCTAATCAAGAGCCGAACATTACTTTCCGACGTGTAATACCTGTCTTGTCCTCCCTCTTTTGCTTCATCATGATCGAATTTTGGCGAACATGTTCTGCTTCTCGCTCATTCATGATAGATAACTGCTTTAAGTCTCTTCCTCGCTCTAATTTGATCAATTCTGACTCGGCTCTACTTAGTGCATTATGCAAATATCATTTAATTCTACGTTAGTCAAGAGTTATTTACATATAATGGTCTCGCGGTTTTAATATGAGCTTATGCACATGTTTAAAGGCCATTAATAAGGCCGGCTATCTTCATACAATACCGGAGAGTTTTTGCGCGACACGAAAACCATATTGCACAAGGCTTTTGTTCACACCTGAGAGCGGTGATTTCGGTACGGTTTCAGTAAAGGGGCCCGACCACCCCCCTCCCCCCCTGGGGGAAAAGGGTCGAGCGAGGCAGCAAGGCTAAGATCTATCACGTATCAGGATTTAAGGTTTCTGTGCCACTCTGGCACAGTGTGAACAGGCGTTCACGGCTGTACCGGATCGACATGGAAGGCCATCTGGTATAGTGTGATTTTTTTCTTACTTTCCCGCGTGCTGCCTGACTGGCTTTGTTTTAATAATTAGGCTAGTTAAACACCAGGTACTGTCAGTAGTCTATTTTCTTCTCAATTTATCAAACTAGCTTAACGCAAAAAAAAGTCAATTCCTCTTCGACCTTTACCTTTCTCAGTCAAGAATCACTTTTGTTAATCAGGGTCAGTTACCGTCCTAGCATCTAGATATTAAACTGAGGATTACTTAAAGGGGCCTTAGTTTGAAATGGCTAACGTATGTCCTATTAATACATTTCCTTGAAATTCCTCAATTTTTGCTCAATAAAATTTTGGTTACACCGACAAACCCTCGAAATAATACAAAGGGCTACGCGATAAAGGAATAACCACACTGTCGACGATAATAAGTGATTCCACAAAATTTGAAAAGATATTGGGGTGGTTATATCGGTAATTTTTAATTGAGTTGGCCAAGAAATAATTTTGGACTGAAAAAACTTGTCGACTGGTTATAATTGCTGATTAAGAGAATTTTGTTTTTGCCGTCTTCGCGGCAATAACAATATCATGCGATGCGGTCAAACCTCGATAACGGCTTTTCTCACATAACAAGATATTTTTAAAGATTCAATATTTACTAGACAGAGCATTCGAAATGCGACTGGGAGGTGTGGATAAACGTCGAGTCATTCCATGTTCTATTTGGGAGGATCCGACATTTTTATTACGGTAAACAACGATAAAAATTGATTGAAATTGAAAACTCTTTTCGTTTGCCATTTCCCTCTTCGCCATAGATGAAGTATCATAATCAAATTAAGATCAGAAACTACAAGAGCCGTTAGCTTTTATTTGATGAATTATGCTGATTTTTTTCAAAATTAACACGTATAGTACTTACTGTGAGAATGAGAAAATCCTCTCGTCGTTCGCCCGGCAACTTTCACATTTTTTGCTGCTCTTTGAAACCCTCTTGTAGGAGATTTTCGCTGTTGAAAGTTGCGTTCCATGGAACAAGTGGTTTTAGAGAAGAATCACGCGATATTACAGCGTTAACAGCGTTTTTAAGAGATGAATAAAATTGTTATAGCCTCGAAGAAGTAGCTTATCATAATAACAATGTCATTGCTGAGAGGGTTAGTTGGTTTCCTAAGAAATAGCCATTGCTTAATTTATTACTCATTTCAAACTATCAATTCTCCAAACCTCGTTTTACTTTTTCCCATTACCGTAATTTGTGAGATTGTATGGCGGGTAACGCATCGATGCATCCAGACAAGAAGAGTAGAGCTTTAAGACACAGGTTCCTTACCAGTAATAACTTAAACATTCAAAATATATACGTTTTGATTAAACTTAAATTTGTGCTTGCTGACCTTCGCATATAAGCAACAAAACTGATAGCACTTGCCTAGAAACTTAACCAGCCCGAAATGGTCTGATTGTATTTTGGAATTTGCTTGTAAAATAAATCACGGCCTTTGTGCTAGTGCAGGTATAAAACAATGTGGATAATCCACTTAAAATCACCTTCTCAGGGAAGATAAGGGCGTGAGGCCCATTTCTTCCACTGATTGCACAAAAAAGTAAGGAGGTGGGCTAATTTCTGAAGGTTTATTCTTTTCAATTTAATGCTTTTGGCAGACTAATAAGTTCACAAATGTGTTTTTACTGATGTGGATGACGTACTTGTATGCAAATTAAGCCACGTGCCATGTCACGAACACAAAATTCAAAAGCAAAAACGGCAACGGGCTTACATTCCTTTACGTTTGCCGCTACATCAATGGATAAATCAAAATGTTTAGAGGAAACAACCTTTGCTTGGACTTATAAATGGAAATATGCTGCAATTTTTGAAAATATGCGGCATTTTGTGTTAGTGCCCAGTCCCCCCATGAAAATGATTTCTTTTTTTCAGACTTTTATTCTACTCGTATACATGATAGTCTTTGAAAGAATTCTTACCCATACGTGTGAATCACTGCCCCCCCCCCCCCCCCCTTCGGCCCCCACAACCATAATTTTGTTGTCTACGCAAACTGCCCTTTGCGTTTTGTGTATTTTAATGCTTCTAAATGTAAACGACAACAAAGTTAAGAGTTTGTCGGTAAAATAATCGACAAATCTCAAATGTTATTTCTTTTCGACGAGAATGAACGATGTCAGTTCATGTATAAACACAGGGGCAAATCACACGCCATGCTTAAACCATTTTCAGACATATTCCATTCATGTGTCCGATTCTGACACAGTCCGTAAAAGGAAAAAAAGCTGCATAACAAAATTATAATTTACAATCAAAACATGAATAACGCCCTGACTAAACAATATGACGAAATTTTGTGCTCTATATTGAATAACCATTCTCCTCGTAAGCAAAGTGTGGGTAACCATACGTCCATCAGCCCCTTGGTACAACCAGGAAGTGGTCTTGGAGAAAAACAAAAGGAGACTTCTAGAGCGGAAGTGCCGTAAAACGAAGCTAAAGTGCGACCTTGAGCGTTACGTGCTCCAATGCTCTGTTGTTAACAATCTGATCAGTTATCTGAAAACTACCTATTGAAGGGAGTTCATCAAAGAACGCCCTGGGGACCAGAACGTGATCTCCACTAGCACTTTAAACAAGCTGCTTCAAAAGGAAGTTACAAAACGTTATCCACCCTCTCCTAATACCACTACTCTAGCAAATTCTTTTGCCGACTTCTTTACAAAGCAGATTGAAACTATACATTCTACACTTGAAGAAAAACTGGTAAATGTGCGTCCTACTAACCTAATTTCTCCTAGATACCATTCTGAATTCTGTGACTTTGCTATGGTTAGCCAAGTCACCTAACTATTAAAGAATTTACTCGAAAGTCAGCGCTTAATTCGTGCGATCTTGATCCTTTACTTGCCTCAGTGATGAAGAATTGTTTAGATATACTCTTGCCAAAATGTTTTTTATCACTCTCTGCAGGAACCATACCAGATGCCCTCAAGATTTCGTATGATGTGAAGAATTATGCAGATCTCAGAGGATTTTATCCACCTCCGCCTTCAACTTCGGTGAATAACATCCTCCTCGATATGCAGAATTCTTCACATTCTACTCAGCCTCATTCAATAATTGCTAATTATTCAAGAAGACCTTTGTAGTGATAATTTGTGAATAAATTCTCAAGAAGATTTACATCAAGCATTTAGTCCCATTACATATACAATTAAAATATGAATTAAGAGTGTAGTTTTTGTCGTATCTCTTCCATATTGTTTTTACGGGACTGTAACAGTTTTGTACATGGGAGAGGAAAATAGCCAGAATAAAATTTTCCCTGCTGTTAAGTCACTTAGTTGCACAATTAAACACTTATGACAAAATTTAAATGAGCTTCTGGTGAGAAGTGGATTAAGTATTATTCAAGAATGAATTGTCTCTCACGTGAAAAAATTTTGCCCCATTTTACATACAACTAAAACATGAAAAGTAAAACTGTAACTTTCTTGGTATTTCGCCCATACTGTTTTTTACAGGATCATTACAGTCTTTTACCTAAAACGAACTATTACTGTTTCCACAGTTCGTTAAAAACGCCTTTGGCTTATTCATGTACTTACACACCGTGCCAGAAACGAACTTAGTAAACTGATGAGTATATCGCACTCCAAGTCGCACATGTTTAGCAGCCTTTTGAAACCTTCTTAGGGGAGTCCTGTGTGTGGTGGATGCTAGCTCAGCTTCCATGCCACTATGCAAACTTAAAGCCGGAGCTACTCAAATTTAGCTTCGATTAACATTTACTGATTAAACACAAACGCATGATCTTATCCAAGAAAGTATAATCATATATAATGTGACATATTTCTTATACAAAGCATTCTCTTAGAAACCGTCGTTTACCAATACAAAACCTCTTTACTCGCTTCCCCTAGATTTGCCATTTATTATATTATCTTTGAGAGTTATTGTTCTCTATCGGATTAATGCCTTAGTTCATCTAAATAACTCTTTGTCTTTATCTTCAGTGATATATTTTTTTTATACATATAAGAAATAAATCAATTATTTGTTTTGCATATTTCAACCGTCTGTTTGGTCAGTGATAGTGGCTTTTAAAACCTTGCAGCCTAAAGGCCATTACTATTTCATGCACATGATCTTAAGCACGCAATCGTGGAAACTCATTTTCTCGGTGTAGAACAATAAAGTTTAACATGATAATCAAATTAGTCAATTTTAAAACCAACCTGTGTGCAGAGCTTTACGTTTAAAAGCCGTATCGACTTGTTTGCAGTTTTATTGTTAGATTCTGACTTTTTTTTCTATTAGCTTCGTCTTGTTTTGTTTTAACACAGAAGCTGTTGAACATTTCGTAAATAGTGAAATCCATATACGTATACTCAGCGTGCATTGAGTCAATTGCATATCAATAAACGAAGAAGCACAATAGATATACTTTCTTAAAACACAATGTCAATGTCTGGATGATATTATAATCAATAAACTTTGCATTTTAATGGACAGAAAGGTGTTGTTGGCCGGAGCATGACGAAAAAATATGGCCTTGAGGTAAATTAAAAGTGCAGTCATTACGTCAGAAGATTGCAAACGTTTGTATGTTATACAAATTATTTCATTCTTTAAATCATCTCCGTGAACGAGTAACACCTTTTATTTATTATTTTGCAACTTTTTTACTCTGTGAAGTCGAATGGAGAGAAAATAAAGAGAAAGGTTCTGCACTACCATTATGACTCTTGACACTATGCATTTTCTTAGTGATTTGTCAGTGAAACAGAGCTTCGACGTTCGGCAACATTGAGCTCCTTGTCTGCCTTTGAAAAGAGATGAATACTGAAGACCTAGCGCTAGCCGACATTCAGAAATCTCTTTATCAGTTTATTTACAGCCACTTGCAATTAACAAATATCATTGCAATATAATGTAATGTTACTTTGATATACACCGGAGATCAGGTATTCTACCCTCAAAACGTCGTATGTTATAATAATTATCTCCAGCATACCCTTGCTTGATTGAGTATCAGTAGCAGTAACCACTAGTAAGGCAACTGAAGGTAACCATCCCATGTTTACGCAAAATATTTTTTTCCAATCTGAGCTAGCCCTCGGATTTGTTAAACTTAGAGTTGGACTTCCGTTTTGACAACTTATAATCTAATGAGACTAGTCGCATATGTATTACCAAGAAAGCCACCATACCTGTCCTTTCCTCTATCGATTGTTTCATATTATTTGAGTTTTGGCGAGCGTATTTCGATTGGCCTTCCCAGGTCTGAACTTTGCTGTTAACGTCCATTTTCAGTGATATGTTCAGGCTGATTAATGTGTAGTTATGCAAAAATACCTTCGCACCTAATGAGAATGTGAACCCCACATTTCATACAAGAAAGAGCATCAGTGAACCATTAAATTTTTCTCCTCCTATCAGAACTTAACGGGACTGAATTCACACCTCAGGAAAACTTTACGTTATATCATTTTTAATTGTTGTTATTTTTGGACTGTTGTATTTCAGCCATAAATTTTTGCTGGGAAAACGAATCGTTTAGTTTGGTAGAATGTGTCACTTGGCTACAAGACTATCTTTTAGATACTCATTTTCGACAGTAGTTAAATTATCCATTTGAACGATGGCGTCATTTTGCTACTACGACCAGAATCCTTTTCATTTTTCTTTTCATATTTAAATTTTGTAATCCCAGCAAGATTTAAATGACAAAAGCCGTAATTTGCAAAAGAAACGAAAACCCTGAAGGATTCCGGTCGTAGTAGTAAATGATGTCATCATGCAAATGGCCTGTTGACGTTGATATCTCATCTTTAGTTTGCTATTGTGATATGAAGTTTATGGTTTCCGTGGCTCCATTGGACGTGTCTTATTATAGCATGCTTGGTTGAATAGACGAATAGAATAAACAAGACAAATTAGGACATCCTGTAACATGACAACATCCAGCACATTAGAGCGTTTTCACTCACGTGCCCAGAGCAGCTATGCAAATTTATCGGGAGAAAATAACATTTTTTTCAAACCCACCGGATCGGTTTGGGTCACCAATATGGCGGACATGACGTCATGAAAAAACGTTTTTTAGAATGGATTCGTTTTTAGCAAACGAGCCACTGTATCCGTCACATTTGCCCCTTTGGATTTTTCGTCAGTCGCTCACAAACTAATGAAAAATTCCAGTGGACAAGTGAACATATGGGTGGATTTGCTTGTTGGCCTATGTTAAACATAAAACGCGAATGTTTCATAAACGGTATAGGTGGTTTTCACGTTACGTCATCGCCGCCATGCTGGTGGACGGTAAACAAAAGATCGCTCATTAGCTCGCTTTGTTTGTCCACCAGCATTTGTTCATTTCACCATTGTTATTTGTGTCTCCCGGGATTGCATGAAAACCACCTATTAGTTTTCCTTTTGGCTCTCGTGTATTTATAAAACATATAGCATATTCAGTGACAAAATCAAAAGTGTCTCAATCAATATCTTCAGCCTAAAGTAAGCCGGGACTTTGGTAGAGTGGCTGTCTGTTGACGTTCATCACACACAAGAAAAAAATCCCAAAATAAATGAATAAAAAAACTGTGGAAACGTGGAAATAATAATGACTATGTGAAATATATGGCAGTATCAAAACTCGCGAAATTGTCGTATTACTTCTGTTTAGCTTTGTTTATCTTAAATGTTATATTTTAACGTATGTATATCACAAATATCAGAAGAGGTCACTGTAAGTGGACTTGCAAAATTAATATAAAACTCGTTGTTAATTTAACTACCACCTCAATTCCCATGACCAACATTCGAACGTAGTAATACATACTAGGTTTCATCGTTGCTATCTCTTTAATTAACATCATTTCATTTTTTCACGACTAGACATTTGGTTTTCATATTTATACGAACAAAATAAGATTCCTATTACTTTAAGCAAATGCATTTTATTACGATACATTTAAACGGAAAGTTTGCGTCCTTAGAACATAGCTTGAGTAAAACGCTCGGTCTAGGTATATTTTTTGGTCGCCGAGTAAAAAGCACTAATCACCTTCACCTTAGTGAAAATATTTTATTAAGTCATTTAAATTGGTCATGCAAATTTCAGCGTTTCTATGATGTATTTTCACTTCTATAATTATTTCTTTCTTTATTTGCTAATTTCCCTTAGTAGTCTTCGTCGACAAAATTGGTACCAAGAAATATTTCCTCCAACGACAGTTTTCTCATGCAGCTGTTTTTTTACTTCTAGGAATTTCACCTTGTATAACTGCTTGGCAGTTATTTCACCCAAGAATCAAATGTACACTGCTCAAACGTAATAGCATTTACTTATCTGAACGTGGAACTGTTTAATCTTGACTTGTACATAATTTGCGCTATTATTTTCCTTTGTTTTCACTAATTATCATATATTACCGCAGACAAAGGCAAATAGAAATTGAACTGTAACAGCACTTACGAGCCAGCTCTAAATACCGCTCTGTTGAAAGGGAAGCAAGTTGGGCCTCTTCCGCTGCTTTCTCGTGATCATACATCTCGTACATTCCGCTGAACAAGCCATCATCAAACATCTTGTACAAGTCCATTGTAAAAGAGAGCCGGAGCCAAACTGGTAAACGGACTCTAAAATTGATATTTTCATTTGTTTGGTAGGCGAGGAATTTTATGATAATTTTCAGAGTCCAATAATATAAGCATGTCTTTTGTCTCGATCTGCTCTCTAGAAACAGTAAGGACAGTCACTAGAGGGGAGGGGGTTGCTATCCGCAAACAGTGCGTGAATTAGTTCACTGCTTTCTGAGACCCTTGTGGCATATGTTTCTTTGCCACTTCTCGCATTCTGCCTTTGCAGAATGTTCAATTCCCCGTTAGGGTTTTATAATTGTATAGAACCTGAACGACGCGGATGCTTCTTTGAAAAGAAAGAAGGCGTCGAAAACCTTATCTAGGAGTTTACAAGTTACTCGGTTCCTACTACCTCGATATCCCCTCCCTTCATAATTCATCTTCTGCTGGCGCAATATCCCAGTTCTATTTTAATCAATTCATCATAATTTTTTGTTTCCGAAGATTTTGAAATTAGATCAGAAAAAGTTAAGATTCGTTCATGCCGCATCAAAGCGATCATCGATTTCTTCGAAGAATTTTTGAGTTTATGAAATCTAAAATTTGGCATAAGCTTGAAAATTCACAGTAATGAAATTTTAGCAATGCGCACAGCCCAACTCTCCAGAAATAAATATATGATAACGCTTAAACCTCTTATCAATAAGATTGTTATCAAGGAGTTATCATGACGCCCTAAATTCCATCACTTACACTTCCTTGTATTTTTTTGTCTTTTTACCAAAGTAGGTTTTTTGCAAGAAAATGATATTTCCGCTTTACATATTGGACGCTACAGCAAAATATAGATAAAAATAGCTTCGAATACAGCTACTCCATGCCGCAAGGGGTAATGACAAACGTAGCTAACGCTTATGATTATGTGGGAAGTTGAAAAAAGGTCCATGAATTTTTCAAACTGCATGGATTCAAAAACAGTTTGACCGGACTGAGTGGGCCATTCCCAAAAAAAAAAAAACATCTCTAACAGCCGATAAATGTTAAAGATAAGTTAGGCCCCGTCCACACGTATCCGGAGATTTATTCGCCCACTCATATACGAAAACGCTAAACAATGGACATACGATAGCATCACTTACAAAGCATGCGTTATGCTCAGCAAGTAATGCATGACGTCCATTTGAAAACCCCAGTTTTAGTCCGTCTACACGTAAACGAGTAGCCGGCGTTTTCAAAAATTCTTTACTCTGCAGAGCGGTTTTGAAGAGATGCGTTTTCGGTGACCGTTTTCACCGATTACGTTTGGACGGTAAGCCAAATGGGAGGAAAAAATCTCCATTTCCAAACTAAAACGGATCCTAGAACGTTTTAAATTATTTCAATGAATCTAAATCATAAATTTATGCTCTTCTTAAGGTCTAAATTCTAACTTTCTGTACATTTTCTGGATGGCAGCTGCCGTTAAGCAGACAGTATGGTATGTTATTTTTACAGCCTCCAGTATTGTTTATTAATAAGCTCAACCTCCCACTGAATTAAATAAGCACCCAAAGTGGTGTTGTTTGAATAAATACCGTATTTACTAACTGAATGTTATATATCTAGCCGAGTTTTGAAAACCAACCTAACGAAATTTGCAGTAATTTGAGTGAAAAGGCGTTAATAGGGAGGTTTTTTTAAGCCCGAGAAGTTCCAAAATCATTGTAACGAAGGAAAAAGAAAGGGGAAAAAGCAAGAGCGACGAGAAAGAAAGAGGAGAAGAGAAAAAAAACAATGGTTGCACTCTTAGTTTTTATAATAGCTACTTTGGAGATAGCTATTGAACGCAAAAGGTCCATTTGGTGATAACGTTTTGAAAAATCCGGCTAGATATAAAAAGGAAGATAAAAAAAGGTTCACCACTTTATCCCCCCCCTCCACAACACGCACAAACTGATATAAACGGACGTTTTTTGATCAAATTCATTCAGTAAACGTCACCAAGTTCCCACTACCAGTGCAGCGTAATGCTACCAACAAGTCAGTTCCAGGATGGCTCTGACAAAGTGCTCGATCTGTATCCTCCGTCAGGGAGTATATATCACTGGGATTGATATTTGCAAGATTATTCGGCATCAATGCCCAGTCTTGATTCGTTTTAGAAGGAGCTCTAGCCAAGTCCCATCATAGGACCTGCCTCAAGGCAACTTAGAAGATTGTACAGTCATTCTTCGTTTTCTTTTCTTCGTTCTTCCAAATGATTAATTCATTTTAATTCTAAAATTACTAATTACAAACACTCCACTGATAATACAGAAAAGGGAATACTGGACGAATAAAATTTCTTTCAGGCATAAAACCATAAACTATTAAATATTATAACTCTATATTGAAAGAAATTTCTCCGAAAACACTGCTTACATTGTGATAAAATGAACTTGTATGATTTTTCCTAAATGGCAACTGCCATTATAATCCACAAGAGAGAATAGCAAGAGAGAATGATCTAAGAGAGCGAATCCCCCATACATGACCCTCTCCCATGAAATTTTATTTCAATCTATTCTTGGTTCTGTGTCATACTGCCTGGTTATTTTAAGGACGCCACCTTCTTGGTCGGCTAGAGTGGCGTCATGTAATTTTAAACTTGGCGGGTAATTCATTTCACTAATAAAGATATGACGTGCAAACTTGTTATTACTTTCGCCGACGAGTCATCGACAAGAGATTTCAATGTGGAAAAATCTGGCCAGAGTAGCTGCCGAAGAGCAAAACGGTCCTGGCTTGTGGGCGCTCGGCGGAGAAAGCGGTCCCGACTCGATCGACGAAAATTGCTTATTGAGGTCTTCGCTACATCAGTATAAAAACAATCAACAACCTATTGTATTAAAACGACAACTGTCTCTTCCCGCGACATCTACGCACGCCCGCGAGCTGTGATACTGTCGTTTGGATTCAACCGTGGACACGTAACGAGAAAATAATTTCAAAGTGGGTTTAAACATTTGAATTTTGAGAGGGCGCTAGACAAATGTGGGCACACCGCTCACTATAAAGAATTGACCCAAACCGGAAACCGCGCATCAAAAGTCTCCAGCATCCAGGTTAGCGACTGTTTACTGCGCTTTTCACAAACATGAGAACTCTAAAGTTCAAAAGCCGCCTTCACAATTGCGTTTTTCGCTGCCGTCAATCATAATTACGATCACAAGCAACGAACCTTGAAACAAAGAAACACACAAAACGGATCGAAATTCACCAATCACAAATCAAATCATTTGAACCTGTTAAAGTAAAGTTTTGTATCCTAAGAGGTCCGTTAAGACGATTGACGGCAGCGAAAAACGCAATCGTCAGTAGACTGCTTGCAGTCCGCCTTTCCTCTTAAAATCAATCTAGTTCTTGATCTCATGCAGCGCAATTGCAAACCACGATATTATTATATAGGGATCTTACGCCCTCGTTTCTCGCGGCAAGCGGCTTCGCCCGTCGCGTGCTTAGGTTTTGCGGGTAGTAACTTTGCAAAGAAAAATAAGAGACTGCTCGCAGTCTAAATTGTCAGTTGGCTTTTGAACTTCAGAATTCGCATGTTTGTGAAAAGCGCAGTAACAGCTTGAAGCATCTGACCTGATTTGCGTTCGCACAGCGAAATATTCATCTCATGAGGGGAAGTTAGACGTTAAGAAGAAGTGATGCAGTTTGAAACTCTCAAGAAAAATTCTTAAAAGCAAATGTATTGTTTCTGAAGGAAAAATATCGCTGGAAAAAGATAACAATATCTTCAGGCCCACCCAACGACAATTTTTGGAAAATATCTGTTCGGAAGACGATTTGAGATCCAGAATTTTCGGAACAATTTTTGTTAAATTTCTTGCTTGCATGCCTCTCCTAGGATTTTCGAACCTCCCAAACATGGTATAATTGCCCATTTTTAACGGATTTTTAGCGTAAAAAGGTCACCTAGAATTTTCGAAAGCCTTTTTTCTTGCTGAAATTTTCGAAAAGGTAGTTTTGATCCCTATAATTTTCGGATCACTACACCTTCAACTAGAAAATCCGAACAGATGAAAAATTTTGGGGGGATAAAAATAAGCCTATATCTACCGTTTAGATACTAAAATACGTTCAACAATGCTATTTGTAAGTGGTTTTTAACTATACTCTTGTTGGGTGCCCCTGTATCTTGCACATTTGCATAAACAACTGATGAAGAACAGGAGCCGATTAGTTTCGGGCGCTAACTACTTTAATGGCATCCTCAGAGACCCAGGGGCAGTCAGTCGGGCAGGGTTAAAAGGCGAGACGAAAGTTTTCAATCATGGGCGGAAGAGCCCCTGGGTACCGACTCTCACCGGACCATTTCCAAACGGTCAAGCGATTGCTGGCTCCTGATTGGGCACAAAAAATGCTTTGTATTATTGTGCCCAATCGGCGAACAGCATCTCCTGAGTTCTTTTCGTGAGTTCGTATACGACGGCTATTGACTCGATCACAGCTTGTCTGGCCCATGCACCAAAGAAATGCACGCAGTCAGGAATCTTTCAGCTTGATATAAACGCTACATTTCAAAATACTGGTAGTCTTAACACTAGAGCCTAAATAAGCTAACAAATATTTCAAGACAAGTAAATTTTAAATTCCTCAAGTAAAAGAAAGCTTCAACGTGGGTACACACTAGGCGACAAGTTGCTGCATGTCGCGGCGACACGTTGCAGCGACAAATCGCTTCGTGTGTACTGGAGAATTTTTGCGAAAATCTTTGTCGCTGCAACAGAATTTGTCGCCGCAACAAGTCGCACAAATTCAGTCCGATTTGATTTTTTGCGACTTTTTGCAGCGACAAAATTCTGTTGCGGAGACAAAGATTTTCACAAAAATTCTTCAGTACACACGAAGCGATTTGTCGCTGCGACGTGTCGCCTCACCTTGTTGCTGCAACTAGTCGCCCGACCTGTACACATGGAGTGATCTGTCGCCGCGACGTGTTGCAGCAACTTGTCGCCTAGTGTGTACCGACCTTCACACACAACCTATCTTTTTTACTTCAGGTTTTCCCACGCAACGTAATTAAGATTGATTGACATGCTTCGCTTTTCTCAAAGCTTGGAAACCGCAAGTTCGCTAAGTCGGTTTTAATGAGATGCAAAGTAAAGTTACTTGAGATTTTGCTTATTCCTTCACACGCGCATTTTTGGTTAAGTAAAACTTAGCAGCCTGGTGTAAAGACAACCACTGACTACATGAAAACTAAAGAAGCTTTTCCAAAAATACAAGCTTTAGCTTATAACAGCTATTCACGCTTGCATCGATCACGCCTTCGTTAATATAGGGAGTTTAATATGGCGCGACAGCTGGCAACCACCAAAACGTCGCATGAAGAGTGAACTCACATTTTGTCAGTCTCCATCGTGATTATTCCAACTTACTTACTTTGTCAAATGCAAGCGAACTGCTCTGGAATTGAATTTCTCTCAACCATTTCCAAGTTCATAAAGAGAAAGAAAATTTTTTCACTGCTTGTTTACGTCCTTCACAAAACGTGAAACTAGGCATTTTCACGTGGTAGTCGTGCAGTGACGGCAAAGAAATATATGCAAAAAAGCGTGATGCACGTGCAAAGTTGTTGTTTTGCCTTGTCAAGCTATTGCTTTTTTTACTTTTTCGTCGCCGCTTCATCTTAAACTTCCTATTATTTACGATACATTGTGATCCGTCAGAAACAGAATTTTCTCAGTGCAAATCGGCTCCTGCTGATAGTATCCGAAACGTTTTTCGACTCATCGGTAGTTCCTTCGTTTCTGGTTAGGAAAGCTTGGTGAACGAAGCAACGAACCTGGCAACTGTGGCGAGATAATAGTCGTCGTGTACGAACTCACGAAAAGAACTCAGGAGGTACTGTTCGCCGATTGGGCACAATAATACAAAGCATTTTTTGTGCCCAATCAGGAACCAGCATTCTCTTGACCGTTTGGAAATGGTCCGGTGAGAGTCGGTACCCAGGGGCTTTTCCGCCTGTAGTTGAAAACTTTTGTCGCGCCTTTTCTCCCGGCCCGACTGACTGCCCCTGGGTCTCCGAGGATGCTTTAATGGCTGTCAAACGGCGAAACATGTCACGTTCACGTGAAAGTAGACCACGCGGGTCACGGAAACAACAGACAAAAATAACCTTCGCAGCACGCGCGAACTTTAAATAGATTTTAAAAAAATTGTAATGGGACACAGGGATTCGCTGTCTTAGATAATTTTCTCTTGTAATCCATTTTAGTGATCCTCAAAGAATTCTCCTTCTTTTGTACAAGCGAAAATCTCAGCTCTTATGCAATCGAATAGATGATTCCAGCGACGTATACCCATGCAGTTTAGCACTTGAGACCACGAAAACAACACCCTGTTTAAGCCAAATAAGGTGCAGTTGTCGTCATGGAAACGTAACATACACGATCAATTCCTGAAATAGTCTCGAGAATTGGAAGAACATTGCAAGGGCTTTAGTTTGCTTTGTTTGTTTTGGTTTGTTTTTGTTTACGTTATAAATGTCGAGAGTCAACCAGGGCGCATTTCCCCAACAGGCGGGTGGGAGAGATAAACCAAGTCTTATCAACTCATTTTCTTAATAAATGCTTCTTTCATTTATTAAAGAGTGTATCATGGTCAGGAAATGAGATGTCTCCATTTAATAAAATGCTAAGTCAGGGAAAATGTAAGGCGGATCTACCTTAATGAGGTAGAAAAGTTATTACTTATAGAAAACTGAAAATTCCTAAACGATGTAATATTTCAGCTAAACAAAGGAAGCTCTTCCGTCCCAAGCTCTTAATTTCAGTCGTTGGCGTCATATGTTAAGTTTTAAAGGAGCACTATATAGCGATGTTTCAATAGAGTTTCTCCTAATTAATGCTCTAGATATCTTCTCTTTTCCACTTACCTCTTGTTAATTTTCGTGGATCAATTAAGACCCCGTTGAAGAGAAGAGAAATAATCCGTGTGGCCATTTATTATCATTTGACAGCATTACCGACTTAAAAGGCCCTTTTGTGCAAACTTTTATTTCTATATCGGCCACAGCTTGCAAGGATACTTTTCTGTGAAATACAGGATCGGATATTTCTCTTCTGCGGCGCATTTACTCATAAGCTCTAGTTCGGTCATTTGCTCACTGTTTAATAAAACCGTCAATTTTTGTAGTAAAAATACAAATATGCGAAACAGTTTAAATAGAGGTAACCGAGGTCGGAAAAAGGAGAGAAATGAAAACTTTTCACTTAGAATTTGACCAATACATATCTTGCTTCCCAGCCTATAAACCTATAAAGAAAACAACAAGCGAACATATTAAGGTAATGATTTATCGGGACCTTAGAATAGAAACTATACATCCACGAGTTTGAAAATTTTTAGTATTTTGACAATTTTCTCGCCAATCAGTCAAAGATATGGAATGTCTATTTTTTCTATGAATATTAGTTCAACAACAGGAATAGCTTTCTCAGCTTGTCAGAAAGCGCTTTCTTTTTTGTCCAAATAGTGATTGACGGGTAAAATAGGGAGAGCATAACCAATAGAAATGTCCATAATCTTGCACATGTATTATGTGAGAAGCAACTATATTTTATTTTGTTAGTCGGTATGATCTTTTAAAAATATTAAAATCGGGACATTCATAGGCCCTATTTTCCTGACTGAAGGTGCTGAACTGTCATGGGCAACCGGAGTATAAAGAAGTTGTATTTTCCAATGAAAACGTCTCTGTCACCCATCTAATTTCATTATTGTTAATGAATATAACGCAGTTTTACTTCAGTGTGCCTTCAATGCTGCTAATACTTTATAAAAACTTTCATTCTTGCAAGTTTAAAATATGTCGGTGAATAAGCCCCACCGCGCATCGAATTACGCCGATCTCCGATCTTACAGTGTAAAACCAGGAGAACAATTCCGGCATTTTAGTTAAAATCCGTTGTTGGCATAACTGGGTGCATTTAATTTACAAAAATTATTTTTCTAGCAGGACCACTGCCAAGCAAAACGTGCAAATAAGGACGCCGGCATCTTTACTGCGAGTGATCATTTTTCTTGCCTGCGGAAAAATATATGTAAAATTATTATTCCTTTTGTGATTGACATAACACAATGCGTTAATGCGTATCCCGGTCACTCCAAAATTTTAGCATCGTAAGCTAAGTTATCTTACAAACCACTTTAAGTATTTCTACAAATTAATGTGGTAAAGTAAGTCAAAGGTTGATTACCTAAGGTAGGTAGAAGCTACTCTGAGCCCTCGTTAGAGTAACAACAACTGGCCAGCAGATTAAAACCATTGGTTGCGTTGCGTGACACGGTGGTTCGACACAGGTGGCTATCACGCGCGTTGTGCAGCATAAATTACTGACAGAAAAGCAAACATTCGATCCGCCAAAAGCACGAAACTGCTTCATTTGATCGGAATGACCAAGTTGTCGATCAAACTATGCGTTGCAAGGGAACGGAGACATGGTTCCCAAGTTCAATTATATATTTAAAAGATTGTAAATTTCCTGAAGAGAAAGCTACTCTGATGATTCCGGCGGCATGAACGGACGACAGAACGGACCTCACGGTGAGCATATGAAGAAAACACTTAAAACCCGGACAGCTAAAAAGGCAGACGACATGAACACGGAATATGTTTTAATGAAAGGTAGGGACTAATCACACTTTTAAAACATTTATTTCCTTTGCTGTTTGATTTTCAAGACCTCAGCTTGTAGATAAATAAGACAAATTCCCAAAGAAACACTCACAGCTGTCCCCCGGCTGGAGCATAAAAAAGGTCACCATCCAATTTGTTAAACTTAACTTTTAAACTGTTCTTTTGATATCCGTAACAGCGGATATATGCCAAAAGTTTTTACAAAGTTTTGGCCCGAACTTCTTATTTAAATACATGTAGATGATTATTCTAATTATTTTATTGTTCTTTTTTGATTCATGTTAAGCCGAGTTTTGGGGACTAGAGAAAATAGCGAGGTGTAAAATTCCTTGTGCTTGGTTTTCTTGATAACTCAGAATTCATCTTCTTCTAAAACGCCTAGGGAGGTTTGATCTGTTCTTAATTAGTCCTTCGCCGGCAATACAAATGCTGGTCATCATAGATAGTTTGGTCGCTTGGAATCTATTGTTTGTGTTTACTGACTCGGAAAGTCAAGGAATGAAGTATGAAAGAGGCTACAAGCGTGAGTCTGTAAAATAAAGACGGAGGGCGAAACGCTCACGCTCACGAAACGCTCCCGCTTACGTAATCCTTCGTGCTTCAACTTCCCACGTTAAGCCGTTGCATCTGCCTGTTGGGATTATTTATTGTTTTTAAGCTCAGAAACATCGAAAAAAATCTAGCGAGAAAATGATATTATTTGTTTCAGTCCGAAAAGCAGCAATAAGATGCGTATTATTTATAGAACCGGTACCACTTCTTGTGTCCTTTCATAAAAACGAACAGGTAAGTTACCAAGCACAGTGTTGAACTTGAAATTTTTAACATGAAAACCTTTTTGCCTGCTTTTTTATCCACAAGTAATAGAAAATAACCGGTATTTTAATCCCCAAAAATAAAGGAACTATTTTGTCGAATCTAATAAATTACATCTATGCGAAATTTATCTATTTTTAAGTGTTAATTGCCCTTCCTTTCTTAAAATAGTAATCATTTATTAAAATTCTCCTTACGTCGCGTGCCAGCGCCATGCAGTATAACCGCACTTTTGTTCATAATAAGTGAAGTGAAACTATTAACGTTCTGTAACCTATTTAGTCCCATTACTTTTCACTCAAAATATCTCCTTTTCAGACTGGCTCTAATCTTTCGGCAGATTTTTCGAGGTTGCGTAGCACCGAGAGTCATAATCTGTCTGTAGTTAAATGTCGTGGGTAGTGGGTAGAGGTCGTGGGCGGTGGGTGTGGGTAAATGTCGTGGGTAAAAAAAAGTATAGGAATAAAAAGATAAAGTAAAGCAATTGAAAAAAATATAGAAAAAAGTTTTAAAATATTTATGAAACGAAAACTTCCTACTCCTTGATTGTTGCCCTTTTCTCGGCTGCTTCTTCGTCCTCTTGCCAATGAAGATTTATCTGAGCGATCGCCGCGAAAATAAACGAAACAGACATAAAATATGTCGAAACGTGCAATTTGCAGAAAGCATGGGACAGCTCGGACTCGCTGAATTGAAATAGCTGCTTACAAAAATTAATCTTTATTCGATACACAATTCCAATGATCAGCGGAGATTCTTTAGCACGATTGAATGCAATCACCGTGGGAAAGGGGAGGGGAAGTGAGGGGAAAAAAGTATAATTTTGAGCTCTTACAAAATGCATAGTATTAATTTATGCATTAGGTTCTGTACATGAAATGTTCGGCGTCTGAATCAAAGGCGTTCCTAACTGATTTAGGCGCCGAACTTTGCATGAGCCGGACCTAATACATTGAATTAAGAACATGAAAAGTTCGGCGCCTAAATCAACTAGGAACGCCTTTGATTCAGACGCCGAACATTTCATGTACAGAACCTAATGCAATTAATATTATGTATTTTGTAAGCAGTTTGACCGAAATGAGCATTTATTTCCTTTTGAATTAAGATCGGCGTCTGAATCAATTCAGCCAGTCTAAATAATCTGGGTCGGCCTTAATTCGAATTAGGTCCAGCTCATGAAATGTTGGGCGTCTAAACCGAAGGAACCACCTTCATGCTCAACTTTTCAAGTTAAGGCTAGACTCTATGTAAATTTTATTGCCGTACGGAAATGCAATTTTCTCGATTCTTTTTTGTTTTCCTTTGCGGTACAAAATCTTTGCTGTAACGATTCCGAAGGAAGGACGTTTTAGTCACTAATGTTGACATCTTTGAGAAAAAGCAGTTCAGTATCCAGTTTTTCTTCAGCCTGGATCAGGTTTACATAGTGTACAGAGTTTCTTTTATTTTTCGCCTAAATGCCTTTTAGTGTCCGTTTGTACTAAAGGATTCGCTTATTTGCTTTGCTGACCGCGGGGAAGGGGAATAGGTCTCCTGGTAATGAACGCGGAGATTTTTCGTTTCATGAATTTTTACAACTTTTTGCTATTTAATTTTTTAATTTAATTTTTTTTTGGAAAAATTATTTTTTAACCAACACCCACACCCACACCCACGACCTCTACCCACTACCCACCACCCCCGACATTTAGCTACACTCATTTAGGGCACAAAAGAGAGGAGGTCAAGCCCGAATCAAGGCTCCTATTTTTCGTGGCATGTACTAAAAGCCGTATTAAAACCAACAACGAAACGAAACCACCGAAATGAATCGAAACGGCCGAAACAAGTGTAACGGCCGAAACGACGAAACAAAACAACTGACGTGATCAAACAAGCGAGCCGGATTCGCTTTGTTGTATGTATTTATTCGATAGATTTTCGCAGTTGTTAAGATGTGAAGTCGCGTTGCACTGATAAATACTTGAGTCATCAATGATTGTGTAACCTATTCATTTTTCATACTCACGTCTTGAATGATGTTGGCTTGGTGTCTTAGATTTACAAGGTCTTTGCCTCGAGGTACTGCCTTTGATTGTGGACGATTGCTTGAAATTACAGCATTATTGCCCAGACATCATTGGAAATTTTCATTTTATATTTATAGACTGTAACTATTGAAGTATACTCTTTTTCCAGTTTGACTATTCTATGTACCATAAGGCAGTCAGTAGATACCGTGTAACCTATGCCTACACACTGGCTCCTTAAGAATTTATCTCCTCCTCATTTCTTATCTTTTTTGAGGATGGAGGCAATATTTTATCCTCCCACGCAGACGTTCTTAGTGCTTCCGCACGCGTTCATTTCCCCACGAAAGAACGACTGTCGAAGCCCTAAAACTTCCGTGTGGGAGGATAGCAATATACGACCGTTTCGATGGTATATTGTGTTGTAAGCTGATCATTCATAGTGAACTCAAAAGAATGGTTTTCTAACTAAAACTGAACGGAAGAAACACAAGATCAGAATACACACAAAAAATATTGCTCGGTTGAAGTCACTACTTTTTGAGGAGAATATCTGCAAAAAATGAAAAAAATCTTTTTTGTCCCGAAACTGTGCCGAGGTACAATGCTTTGAAGAAAGACTTCGAGGAGGAAGAACTTAGAAATATTTTGAATGAATAGTAAAACAATTAATATTGAATTCATATGAAGAATTATTTTTACATGAGCTCGGATTCCTTTGTTCTTTTCGGGGGAATATATTACATAACCCCCGAATCAACTATCTGAAAAGATAGGGGCGGCTTTGAGTGTTTGAAGGGAAGAGCGGGGCTAATGAACGGCTAATTAAAATGCGAGGGGATTATGTATTAATATGCAAGGGGGATAAGTCACTTATCCCCCTTATATTTATAATATTTATAAACTTTAACGATTGAAGTATACTCTTTTTCCAGTTTGACTATTCTGTGTATCATAAGGCAGTCAGTAGTTACTGTGTAACCTATGCCTAGCTGCACACTGGCTCCTTAATTAAGAATTTATCTCCTCCTCATTTCTCTTTTTTTTTTTGAGGATGGAGGCAATATTTTATCCTCCCACGCAGACGTTCTTAGTGCTTCCGAAAGCGTTCATTCCCCACGAAGGAACGAGTGTCGAAGCCTTAAAACGTCCGTGTGGGAGGATAGCAATATACGACCGTTTCGATGGTATATTGTGCTGTAAGCATTTCATTCATAGTGAACTCAAAAGAATGGTTTTCTGACTAAAACTGAACGGAAGAAACACAAGATCAGAGTACACAAAAAATATTGGTCGGTTGAAGTCACCACTTTTTGAGGAGAATATCTGCAAGAAATGAAAAAATCTTTTTTGTCCCGAAACTGTGCCGAGGTACAATGCTTTGACGAAAGACTTCGAGGTGGAAGAACTTAGACATATTTAGAATGAATAGTAAAACAATTATTGAATCCGGCTTTTCGGATGATGTGAAGAATTATTTTTACATGAGCTCGGATTCCTTTGTTCTTTTAGGGGAGAATATATTACATAACCCCCGAATCAACTGTCTGAAAAGATGGGTGCGGCTTTGAGTGTTTGAAGGGAAGAGCGGGGCTAATGAACGGCTAATCAAAATGCGAGGGGATTATGTATTATTAGTATAATTACATTGATGATTATCGAAAATAGAGCGCTATGATTGGCTAGGAGCTTTGCTTCATCCCGCTATAATCACCGCGCGGTGATTATAACATAGAAGGCTAGCAGTTTTCAAAATGGCAGCCAGATTTGTTGATGTTTCGGAGTCGAAAATTGATCAATAATTTTATTTTCTCGAATAATCATCAATGCAATTATACTAGAACAATTAGTCGCCTCAGGCGACGTGAATATCGGCGAATAGTCACCTCGACTTCTTCTCCGTGACTATTCGCCGATATTCACGTCGCCTGAGGCGACTAATTGTTAAATATTGAAGGGCGATAGGTCACTTATCCCCCTTGCATATTAATACATAATCCCCTCGCATTTTAATTAGCTTTTCATGAACAAAAAATTCGCAAATGTTTATTGGAAATATTAAACACGACGCTACAATTACTTAAACTAGTAATAGTTGACACTACAGCTGCCCCCGCTCTGTATATTGTCGGTCAATAGTATTCTTGCTCGTTGTGTAGCTCTTTGAAATATACCGATTCATAATGAAGATTTTCACATACAATAGGTGAGATACATACAGGAAACGCAAGGTTCCATGCACAGTTTCAGTTCGATTTACACAGCTTTGATCAAAATATTTTCAGTTTCGAGAATAGTTTATTCTAAACGATAAGAAAAGATTTAATTAGAAGTTGATTTTTTCGCTATTTCTCCTTCACTTTTTACTTTAGGAGAGGGAAGTTCCACTGTTACACAAACCACGCGAATTGTGACAAATGGGAGTGAAAGCAGTTCTTCAACAACTACTTACCAGGTATCTATGTTTCGCTTTCATGACCAATTTATTCAAAGGTGGTTTACTTTCAATTATGTATCATTAATTAGGCATATGAAAAATATTTGAAGACATCATAACGCTTAAACATTCCTGACCTTCCCTATTTCATTTCTTTAACCAATTTTATACCACTTCTTATATAGGACCTATAAGGTTTTTTACCTGAAAATACGTAGATATTTAAGTCCAAAGATATTGCCACATTTATCAGTGACTCTGAGATCCCTAATACAGTAAAAACCTGCGTGTAAGAATCTAGTGGTTTAAGAACCTGCTGGCAAAAAATATTTGCCGTTTTAATATCCAAAATATAAGAACCTTTTTTATCTGGGTTAAAGTTGAATTATGATAAACGTTTACAAGGAGATTGAATTTGAGATCTGAAAACTCATAATCAGAAAATAGCAAAACATAAGAGTATTAATATGATTGTCATTCCTACAACAACAACAAAAAAGGTTACATAGAGCACATGGTGTAAACTACCTCATGGACCCTGCAAAAAGGAGCTTCTTTGCAATATACAGTTATGAATAAAATACTGTATATCTCAGGACCACACCCAAGTTTTCGTTTTTAACCCTAACCCAAAATCCATCTACTTCATAGCGGAGAGAAGCGTGCACAACGGTGCACCATGGGTTAGAAAATATGGTTGTCTATGATCCGGGAAATTTTGTTAGTGACTTGCTGTCACGTGACCGTACGCCCTTCCGTCTTCACCACACTAACATCAATGTAAAAGAAAAAACTCCATCAACAGGTATGGCAACCAAAAATGAAAATCGAGGTTTTTTTGGCGGGAAATCGCGTGACCAACCGCTTCTTGTGAAGCAGCGATAATTAAAGAGTCACTAAGACAAAACGGAAAGCGGAAATTGTCTCTATATCCGTGTTGTCTCAAGTATTAAGCTTAGATTAATTGTCATATCCTCAGATTTGGAATATAGGGAAAGAGACAGACAGAGAAAACGAGAAAGTAGGCGACAGGCTAGCGAAACTCAAAGACAAAGAGAGCGACATAGAGCTAGATCAAGCGATAAAAAGCAAAGGAGACGAATTTCGTAGCAAGGACAACATGAACATTTTGTAGCGGCGGTGAGAAAATAAGAAATTCTAGCAGTCAGCAAGGTGAAAAAAGAGCGGCACTGAAAGAAAAAAAGAAAAAAGGAATACAAGGAACAAAATTTTTTGTCAGCACATACAACATTTTTTCCATAAAACGTGTAATGAGGAAGTTTCACGTTGCAACAACAACGGAAAAGAAATGTTGACAAAGCTAGTGTGCTGCATGTGCAAAGTTGTTGTTTGCTAATTAGACTTATTATTTCTTTGGCCGTTCTCGTCGCCGTCACCGTTTAGTATTACACGATTTTATTTTTTGAGTACATTATCAGTATATTAACGTGAACTTCGCTTTTATCCCTGGCTATCATCTTATCGCACCCAAAACCCAAAAAGTAGAAGGGCAAATCCCAAAGGATAACAACCCCGTGAATGATAATTATAAAAAAATGCAAACTTCCTCTGTCTCTGAAGGTGTATCTAATTTTTCTTCCAGGACCCTAAAGAGGACTTTCTTAAGTTAAAATCGCCCTCACAGATCTCAGGAGAAGAGACTAGCAGATACACGGTGACTCGGACCAGAAGAACTATCACAAATTCAGGAGGACAAGTTAGTTCCACTACTAAAGACGAGAAAATTTCTTACTTTCTTATCAGCCTCTTTATATACTAGACTCGCTTTCTATTAACGCCCACAAGAAGAAATAAAACTAATAATACATTAAACTATTCAGAGTAACATACTAAGGCCTAAAGAATCAAGTTAGACGTACAACAGGCCAACTAAATTCCTTTGTTAACTTCGTTAACCAAGTTCGATCTCTTCGATATTTAATTCGGCTTTGTAAGTTATAGAAACATTTGCCTCTGCTTGAGATAAAATACCAAGCAGACCTTCATTTCCAGAATGTTTTGGTACCTTCGTTTAACTGAGATGTTTCAAGGAAGCATAACAATATGGTATAAACTGTGTCAATTTAGCCACACAAATTTAATACCTTACATTTTCTAATCAACAGACCCTACAATCTTCAGCTGAAAATTCCCAAACCGTCATGAAAACAACAGATGGTAGAGATAAATACATTCTAGATAAACAAGGAGATGAAACGGATGCCAAATACAGAGAACTGACATTGCAAGTTACACCTATATTAGGCAAAAACATAAAAGAAAGTCAGCAGACACTATTTCCGAGGGAAGATGAAAATAAGCAGAAGGCTAAAATTACTGTTCACGCAATAGAGGAGGCAATGACAACTAACAAAGAGCCCACGCCCGTAAGTGTTAAGCGTGGTTATGATAATGCGTGATCCTTTTATATACTAGACTTTTTTGGCGCTTTAGTCATCTTGTTAATAATTCCCTTTACTTTTGACTGACATTTTGGTTAGACGTCCTAACTTGGCAATAGTGAGCTTAAGCAAGAAACACGGCGGTGGTTATGAAACGTACAAAAAAGCGTGATGCACGTGCAAAGTTGTTTTTTGCCAATCTAAGCCTGTTCCTTTTTTGCTGTTTTCGTTGTCGTTACTGTCGTCATCGTCGTTGCTTAAGCTCCCTATTGTTTATAAACATGTTTGCTTTGTAAAGTAGGTTAACAAGACAACTACTGTCTTGTTCACGTCCTTTACAAAACCCGTGAAATTAGGTAATTAGTCACGTCGTTGTTGTTGCAAACCGTGATGTACGTGCAAAGTTGTTGTTTTGCTAACCTAAGGACCTGTCCACACTAATGCCTTTTCAAAAGTATGCGTTTTCGTTGTCATCAACAACGTGTCGATTGATTTGCGTCCACACTAATGTTTTGATGCTTTTTCGACTGTCCGTATCAAGAAGTTCGAAAACGATAGAGTTGCATGTTGAGAAGTAATTTGAACCATGTGCGCATCCTACAATCACGCGCGTGCGATATTTCCTCTGTCTCTGAAGGCGTAGTCTAATTCTTGTTCGAAGACCCTAAAGAGGACTTTCTTAAGTTAAAATCGCCCTCAGGAGAAGAGAGTGGCAGATACACGGTTACTCGGACCAAAAGAATCAACACAAATTCAGAAGGACAAGTCAGTTCCACTACTAATGACGAGAAAAGTTCTGACTTTCTTATTAGCTTCTATATATACCAGATTCGTGCTCTATTAAGAATAAGAATAAATAAAATTAATAATATATTAAACTATTCAGAGTAACCACGGCCTAAGAATCAAAACAGACGTAGAACAGGTCAACTAAATTCCTTTGTTAACTTCGTTAACCAAGTTCGATCCCTTTGGTATTTAATTCGGCTTTGTGAATTTACAAAAACATGTGCCTCTGCCTGTGGCTGTGGAATTTCAAAGCAGGTCTTCCTTTCCAGAATGTTTTGGTACCTTAGTTTAACTGAGATGTTTGAAGGAAGCGTAACAATATAGCATAAACTGTGTCAATTAAGCCACACACATTTAATACCTTACATTTTCGAATCAACAGACCCTACAATCTTCAGCTGAAAATTCCCAAACCGTCATGAAAACAACAGATGGTAGAGATAAAGACATTCTAGATAAAAAAGGAGATGAAACGGATGCCAAATACAGAGTGACATTGCAAGTTACACCTATAATAAGCAACAACATAAAAGAAAGTCAGCAGACACTATTTTCGAGGGAAGATGAAAATAAGCAGAAGGCTAAAACCACTGTTCACGCAATAGAAGAGGTAATGACAACTAACAAAGAGCGCATGCCCGTAAGTGCTAAGTGTGGTTATGATAATGCGTTATCCTTTTATATACTAGACTTTTTTGGCGCTTTAGTCATGTTGTTACTTCCCTTTACTTTTGACTGATATCTTTGGTTAGACGTCCTAACTTAGTAATACGAAAACTTTACTTTACAAAAAGTGAATATGATTTGCTTCAAACTTTATCGTACTTATTCCAACCAAACTCTTTCAATTCGTCAAATGTTGGCAAATGTGTTCCGGGTTTTTATTGTAAAAGACTGTATCGAAGTTCAGGAAAAGAAAAAGAAAGTCGTTGTCTTGTGTTCACGTTCTCCACAAAACGTGGACTTAGGCCGCATTTTCACGTCCCAGTCGTGCAGTGACGGCAAAAAAATGTACAAAAAAGCGTGATGCACGTGCAAAGTTGTTTTTTGCCAATCTAAGCCTATTAGTATTGCTTTTTTGCCGTTCTCGTTGCCGTTACCGTCGTCGTCGTCATTGCTTAAGCTCTCTAGTGTTTATAAACGTGTTTGCTTTGTAAAGGAGGTTAACAAGGCAACAACTTTCTTTGAAAGGAAGTAGTTGTCTTCTTCACGTCCTTTACGGGACAAGAAAACTATTTTTTTTGTCTTGTTCACGTCCTTTACAAAACCCGTGAAATTACGCACTTAATCACGTCGTTGTTGTTGCAATGTACAAAAAACCGTGATGTTCTTCCAAAGTTGTTGTTTTTCCAATCTAAGGCCCTGTCCACCGTGACACTAATGTATTTCAAAAGTGTGCGTTTTCGTTGTCATCGACGACAACGCGTCGATTGATTTGCGTTCACACTAACGTTTTGATGCGTTTTCGACTGTCCATATTAAGAAGTTGGAAAACGATCGAGTTGCACGTTGAGATGTTAGTTGAACCATGTCCTTATCCTACAAACACGCGCCTGCGATATTTTCGGTCATCCTTTTCATTTTCATTTTTCGTCGTCGTTGCTTTATCCAGTTGTGGGACCATTTTTTTCATTCTCTCCTGGATAGTTTAAGATTGTGAAGTCAAGAAAAAAAAAAGTGGGGCAGAAAATCGCGTACTCGCGCAGTACTTGGTTTAATTATTATTTACTTCAGTTACTTTCGGAGCGTTTCCCGTAACGGGGCTCAGCTGCGCCGCGCTGATCTTGAAAGATGATTATGGCATGTCGGATAGGTTTATGTGCCTATGTGAACGGTCATTCATACGAGCCGGATTTTTTTTTTTTTTCGTGTCGACGTAATAAGCTGTCCGGTATAGTGCAGACATGGCATTAGTCTCTGGTCCAAGGATAACAAGATTTGAATTTATGGGTGATTGTGCCTAAGCCGTGTCCGCTAACACCTATTTCATTTTTTCTTCCTTTAAGAGACTGTAGTTCCACCTTAATTTACATTAAAACATGTACAGCTAGTGCTAAGAGAAAATAATAAGAGACATATTATAATGATTAACGGCTAATGTAAGCAATGAACTGAAGACAAGGCCGGCGACCTTTCGTTTTTGTAGTATCATGAATAACATCTCTCAGGTCAACATCTCGCTGAACTCTTAATTTCTTTCATTAGGTACAGAGAACGTCACTAAGTGGTACAAGAGATGTTCTGTTGATTTCAGCGGAAAGATTCTCCAACGGCGGAGGCACGGCACGTGAAGCAGAGCCTGCTAACCATGATTCTTCATATTCCCTCACTGATAAAGATGGCAGGCCTGCCTCTGGAGTCAGCCCAGCTCAATATTATAAATATAGCATAGATAATTCAACTTCTGCAAGGTAAGTGAAAAAAAATTGACTTCGGCTTATTTGGATATTTTAAATTGCTGAGCAGTGACCTTTTTGTAACTGTATATCTTTATGGTTGCATTTTATTTGTTTTTATCAGTTGCTTTTTTTATCTATCTGTTTGTTTAGTTATTGATTTACATTTCTCCAGTTGTCTATTTATTCATTTATTTATACAATCTTTCGATAGTTTGTTATAATATTTTGGGCACAATCGTTACTCTAGAGCAAATCGAGTGATTCAGGACTCATTAATGCCTTTAAATAGAGATTAAAAAAACAGCTTTTTTTCTTGTTCCTGATTCTCCGATCGTTCAATGTGATGTTGTTAATAACGACGATGATCATAATTATCGTAAAATCTTATTTACTTCATCAAAATAAATTAATGTGGTGGTGTTTATTAAATTTTTGGTAAACAGTGGGGAACTCGAGTTCGTTAAAGTGACAAATGACGAGGAAAATTTGTGACTACAAAAGCTTAAAAATTGCATTGAAAAGGCCACATTGATTAGTTTAGGTATCTTTAGAAGAGCAAAAACATCAGCTGCATGACAAAGACTCAAAGCTTGGAACTCAATTCCAATGTCATTTTGTCCACGTGAGCTATCATTCAGTTATACTTTTTAGATACATGACTCAAATTGAGATCAATTTGGAAGGAAACCGAGACAATAGTGGGTAAGACAAAGGTTTGCTTCTCTTTTCACACCATCACAAGCAAACTGACGTACTAATCGAAACTTCCTTGTTCATAACCGGTAAAAATGGTTTGAGTGGTATTTTGTATGATTTTTTATTTTAATTAGCTGGTAACTGGTAGCACAGTGTTTATGGGGTTTATCTATTTGTTTAGGTCCGACCGCATCATTTTTCAAACATGTTTAAATATGGCTTAGCTAAACTAGTTTAAAGGACGGTGTTCTCCGAAAGCCAAATGGTATTTCGAGTTTACTAGTCTATAAAAGCCAAAATCATCGTAATGTTCGCTTTATTATCTCAGGTTTCCGATCACTTAAGCTATCGAAAAAGGGCCGAAGAAAGTGCAGTTACTTTTTAACATTATTTTATTTTTCCGAGTCGCGTGTGTCACTGACTGAAAAATCATCTTTCTCACATTAAAACATGTTTGAAAAAAAGAACTTTGGAGCTACTGAAAGTAGCGCAGTTGTTATACATTGCCTCATTTTATCTAATCACTAATGAACTGACACATGCACTGATATACTAACACATACCGGTGAAGACTAGGAAATTGTTGAGTGGAACATGTCTTTACAGCATGCTCCCTCTTTAGCACTGAATGGAACACACCGAAAATCTAAGGGTGTGTTCCATGGTCATTGGGACGATCAGGATCAGGATCGACCATCCTAGATCACTCAGATCATCGTGCATCAAATGAATCAATCAGTCCTTTTCCAGGGTGGATTCATCGGTTCTTTTGATTTGATGCCTATCCAGATCTTTCCAATTGAACACGCACAGATTCGATTTACTTTGTCGCCACTTAATAGGACATGGATTCAAACCTGTTGAATTTCATGTAAACTGTTTCTGGAGCAGAATTTTCTCCGTGTATTGTCTATCGAGTACTCCCACTTGTCCGGCCTCAACAATTTTGACTGGATTGTCTCCAAGTATGTCCCGGCGTCTTAGTTCGTAAGACGATCTGAGTCACCTTGTTCCGTCTTTTTTTTTTTTTTATTTTATATAAATTTCTGTTTTGGTGGGTTGTCAACAGGTCCAACGAGTTAGTGGATTATCTAAAGAAGAAGCTTGATACCGTGGATCAAAGCCTATCTGATTTGGAATGCAGTGTTAAGCACTCAGACAAGGATTCCATGGACTTGAAATCCGCTAAGAATGCTTTGGATCAGCACAAGGTAAAAAAGCATCTTTTCTTCCGATAGCAGTTTAAGATATTACAAGTTATGTAAATTCCCGGGGGTACTGCCATATATAGGCCCCACCCAGTTTACTCCCTTAATATTAGGCGAATTTTGTTTACCTATTTGACAAATGATCTTTTTTGCAGGTGTGATTGCAAGTTATGTAAATTGTACGTCCTCTATTTAAAGTAACCTATCATCATTCAATTTTGCAGTTACCATGCGACATATTTTGCAACTTAATGTCCAAATAAAGCGTGGCACCTGTATTTTGCGCAAAAAAGTACGGAAATCATGTGTTTTTCACCGATATTTATTTAGTAAAAAAATCCATTTGATAGTTAGGTAATTAGACTACAGTGTAATGCGTTCTGTGCCCATTCGCTATAGATGTTACTAAGACAGCATTCACACTTGGTGCCTTGCTACAGTGCACTGATGTGAACACAACCTTTTTTGAAGTACCTACGCTAGAATTCGGGCACGGTGCCGGTGCCTAAGTTAAGATTAAGCCCTTGTACTCAGGCGCAAAGTGAGCACCGCGAACTTGTGTGCACACTGTTTTTGTTACTTTTAAGGCAATCCACTGCTTTGTACTCGCTGCTAAGCTTACGTCTCAAAAATGGCGTCTGAGTGGAATTAACTATGTACACAGTTACATATCGGGTACTCAGGGTGTGAACACAACACCATTTTGTACCTTTACCCAGACACTGGTTCCCGGGCACAAAAGAGTGGACAGGCCCGTAGAAGCTGGTTAATTTTCTTTTTATCTGATTCGTATCTCAGGAGGTACTCAACCATTTAACGTCAGTAGAATCCGACACATATGATGTTCAGGAGGAAGGAAAGCAATTGATAAAAGACAAGCGCTTTGACAGAGCACATGGGGAATACTTTCATGATAGAATTGAAGTAACAGTCATAAGGATAACAACTATTAAGGAAGATATTAACAGAGAGCATCAAAGGTATGCTCCGTGTTCACTGCTTCCTAAGAGCCAAATTTGTATCACACGTGTTGTAACCATCTCTGATAATACCGTCGTCGTTTCTTAGAAATGAGTTCAATAGTTTTTTTGTTTTAGCATATGACTTCAGTGTCTTCTCTGCAGATGGAACTTAACTAGGATATTAAACAAGTAGCACAAGTTTTGTTCTCCTGTTTTCCAGATTGTTCGATCTATATCTTATTTTACTAAGACAACACTTGGAACGGATGAATGATTGGCTGTTGCGAGCTGAGTCTCGAATATCATTGGATGATGTGATAGAACCAACTTATAAGAGAGTGCAACAGCAAGTCTGGGACCATCAGGTACATGCATGTGTGTTTACTACATTGGTGGTAAGGGAGAACATGCATGATCGCAGGCCTTCACGTTATGCTCAATTAAGACGAAGTACGTGATAAACATTCATTAAGTGACCCAATTCTCAGACACCTCAAAGTGGCTTGCTCACAACTCACTTGTTTGAAAATATAGAATACAATGGTCTTCGCATTATGCATGTAGTGCATAACAGTGAAACGTTTACTTTCACCAGGATTAATTGAATTATTAACAATAACATATGCCATTGTCGTCTTAGACTCTTGCTATTAAATATCTGAAATATCTCTAATTAAAATCTCTCTGTGAAAGGTTTGAACCCAGGAGCCATTTCAAAAGTAGGTTGAGTTTGATCGTCCGGGTGAACGTAGTCCTGAATAGGACTGTTGTTGTTAGGACAGTCGTCTATTGTTAGTCAAATTGTCAGTTCTCCAGTCGTTCTCTCGTAGTTATTGACGAGATCAAGCAAAACTAACTACGAGAGAACGACTGGAGAACGATGACCAATAACATCGCGACGTAATTGACCAATCAGATCTATAGCCAGAGTATAATACCATCAACTGACTTTATACAACTCACTTGTTTCGACAACCTGTGCGGTAGTCATCTTCAGAGTCAAAGTGAGTTGTCAGGTGATAAAGTCAGTTGATGGTATTATACTCTGGCTATTGATCTGATTGTTCAATTACGTCGCGATGTTATTGGTCATCGTTCTCCAGTCGTTCTCTCGTAGTTAGTTTTGCTTGATCTCGTAAATAACTACGAGAGAACGACTGGAGAACTGACAATTTGACTAACAATAGACGACTGTCCTAACAACAACAGTCCTATTTAGAACTTCGTTCACCCGGACGATCAAACTCAACCTACTTTTAAAGTCTCTCTGATATTAATATAAATGTCTGTAATATTTAACTCACCAGTACATTTCTATAAACCTGTAGAGTGTAGTAAATTCGTTTATGGAGCTCCAGTTGTACGGTCAATTATCTTAGAAAATTAAAGACGCCGTTGAAACCGGCGAAATGTCTGTCCCAAAAAAAGGCAAGGAAATGATTGAAGATCAACAGGGGGCCAATTTTACAATGTGGCCGTACCTGTCCATACCAGGAAGCTCTCAGTTTTTTTAAAGTTGTCCGTTAATAGGGAATTGACTGTGTCTTGCAGTTATATTATTATGAGTTGGCTATAAAATGGCCGCACGAATTTCATGTTTCTCTACTGCTGTTCTTTAGGCGTTTCAAGAAGAACTGTCAAATTACTCGATGGCAAACATGATACTGGATATGGACTTGGAACACCCAGCTTTGGATGAAACCATAAGGGACTGGGTCAAGGTATTTTCAACATAAAAAAGCTGTATTGTTGGACCACAACTCTCCCCCCCCTCCCATGGGGGGGCACTCCCTATAGTGGCCTATACCGGAAGGCTCCGCCTGAAATGAGTACCTTTTTCAGGTTTCAGGTATATGAGAGGGGTGAAGTATAAGGGAAGGGGATTTTGTAAATTTGGTCTACATAAAGGAATAACATATGCATTTTACGGCTGTGAATAACTCGAGTCTAGTCATATCTTAAAGAGAGTAAATTTACACCGGTTATACGGGATGCAATAGAAGGCATACTAAAGGGATACCTTTTCCGCAAAAAATGAAGTATCAAAGGCTAAAAGTTTGGACCTCAGGGCGAAGCCTCCTCTTATAAAACTTTGTTGAGTACCCGCCAGGTTTTTAAAACCTATTTCACCTCCAGGTTTATAACTACAGGTATTAAGCGAGCGTTGGGCGGTTGTGTGGAACTGGGCGGAAGAGTGGAAGGAGAAGCTTAACCAGGCTCTTATTGACTGGGAAAATTTACGTGAAGAAGAAGCTGCGTTGCTTTCCTGGCTTTCAAGTAAAGAACAAGCCTTTGATTTGATTGGAGAAACAGATATCACCAATAAAGAACAAGTTACGATGCATTTAAATCTGCTTCAGGTAAGAGTGATTATTTCATGCCATTGATGCCTTTTAATTCCTAAGGTCATTTTTCTTTTCGTCTCCTCTTCTTGAGCTGAGTGAAATACTCTTCGCTTAAAGAACCAAGAACTGACTAAAAAAATGTTTTTGATTTTAAATAAACTTGGATGAGTTTACAACTGGGGGGACCATCAAAAAATGTTAATGAAAACAGATTACTTGTGAAATAAAAATTAATTCGAGTGCCTTTGTTCACGCCACGCCATTATGAATAACAAGAAAATAATGTTAGAATTTACAAAA